CCAAACACCCATCAGCTGGATAGTGCAGCAACTTCAACCCGTTTCATGTCATGGCACACAAAAACTAATTACCAAAACTGTGCAGCATATATATATATAAATCTGACAAAAATAGGTATAATTTTGATCCATTCACACTGAACAGCTATTGTTGAGTTGGCTGTAATCATTTTTTTATTTGACAACCTAAAGAAAAGGAGGTCAGTGCCCCCGACTAACTAGGCGGGTATCGTGCGCTGACCGGTGTGGCTCGGCTGGTTGGGCACCGTCCTGCAAAGTGCAAAGGCACCAGTTCAATTCCTGGTCAGAGCACATGCGTGGGTTGCAGGTTGTCCCCTGGTTGGGTCACGTAGAAGCGGCAACCGGTCGATGTTTCTCTCCCTCTGTTTCTCCCTCCCTTCCCCTCCCTCTAAAAAAATGAATAAATAATTTTTAGAAATAGTCAGGGACGGCACGCTTGAAAAACTCTTGTGGCACGCTGGTTGAAAATCGCTGGGTTGGTGGATAAACCAAGCGTGGTGCACGCGTGCAGCGGACCCTGCCCCGCGATACAAAGCAAGAACCTGCGGATGCTGCTCCACGCGTGAGCCCCGAAGACACCGCGCTACGTGACAGAAACCAGATGCTGTGTATACATATGTGCGCATCACATTTTGAAGTTTCCTGAAAAGGCAAATCCGTGGAGACAGAAAGCAAGTTGGTGGTTTCCGGTGACTAAGGTGGGAATAGAATTGGTTGCAAACTGGGGTCAGGGAACTTTCTGAGCTGATGGCAATATTCAAAGGCAGGATCGTGTCAATGACTGCACAGCTCTACAAATTCAGTAAAAATTGCTGCATGGTACATACAATAGGAACATTTTATGATACATAAATTAAGCCTAATGCATAAAGCTGCTAAAGAAAACAGTACTTTATCTTGAAGGGTTGTCATGAGGATTAAATGAGGGTTTTTTAAAAAGATTTTATTTATTTTTAGAGAGGGGAAGGGAAGGAGAAAGAGAGGGAGAGAAACATCAGTGTGTGGTTGATTCTCACGCGCCTCCTACTGGGGACCTGGCCTGCAGCCCAGGCCTGTGCCCTGACTCGGAATGGAAAGAACGACCCTTTGGTTCTCAGGCGGATGCTCAATCCACTGAGCCACATCAGCCAGGGCTAAATGAGTTAAAACATTTAGAACAGCATCTCACAGGTACTCGTCTCTAAGCGCTCTGTGTATGGACTAAATAATGAAGATACATGTTTGTGGCTATGTGACTGAACACACGATTAAATCACTAACAGTTCTCGTGCGTTTTTCTACACCACAGGAAGCGCTCAAGCCATGGAGTGACCGCTCTTCCATAAAGTGCATTTTAAAGTTTCGTCCTACACTTGAGATCGTTCAAGCGGAGGCGTTAAGAGGTGTCACGTGATCTAGCCGCAAACCACCACGTCTGGAACCTTACCTCCTGCCCTGCCCACTGCCAAACCCTTCAGCAGAAGTGAACTTCTCTCGGTTTCTCAGACTCGAGACTCGGGACAGCAGCACTTGCACACGTCGCTGGCTCTCGCTGGGGGGGGCGGTTGGCGGGCGGGAGAGGGGGCGGGGATCCATTTCCTCTCCCTCCCGTTGTTCAAATGCCCACCTAACTCTTACTGACTCGTTCAGTCTTCACTTAGGGCCACTTTTGATAGAAAGTTTTCCCTGATTCTTTCTCATTTCCCCAGCATCCCCCCTAACACACACACTACACACTACACACTACACACTTTACATTGAGTTTGCCAACCAATTTGACCCCCACATAGGGATGAACCGAGTCCTGGTACCCTGGGCACTCAGAATCCACAGGGACGGGCAGGGCACTGAATAAACCCTGGTGCAGTGACTCTGGGGGGGGGGGTTCTGACCCCTCAGGAGACACCTGTCAGTCCCACCACCACACAAAGTGCCCCCTCCCACTCCCAGCGGGAAAAACCACTCATCTGCTGTCTGTCCTGTCTGGAAATTCAACTCGAATCACAGGATACGGAGTCCCTGGCGTCTTTTTTCCTCTACTTGGTGTATTTTATGGTCACAGTAGGCATGGAGGGTGCTGCTGGTGTCTAGTGGGCAGAGGCCAGGGATGCCCCTAAACGTCCGCCCACGCACAGGACGGCCCCCCAGAACCGGGAATGACCCAGGCCGGTGTCAACAGTGCTGAGGTGGAGAAATCCTGCCTAGGAAATGAAAGCATGAATTAGTGAGTAAATGAATCACTTTTGAAGCTGAATTTAAGGATTGTCCTCCCTGTCCTTCCAAATTCCAAAAGGAAAAAAACCTCAAAATATGTCAATGCCCCCATTCCTTTCCACAATTTGAAATTTGTTTCTCTAATGCTATCATTTCAGGATGGGAGAAATGTCAGGATTATTATATCAGGGGCACCATGGCGTCTGCACAGATGCCCTTTCAAACATGACCCCCGCCCCAGACAGCCGGCCGCTGACAGACACCTTAACCAAGGTCAGCCCTCTGCCCAGGGCAGCCCGCACCCTGCGACTGGCACATGAGGGGGTGTCCCAACTTGGGGTGGCTCTGCAGGGCCATCCCAGCTCCAGAGTTCCCTGCGGGGCTGGCTGAGGCCTGGGTGCAGAGGGCACCGCAGCCCAGCGTCTGCTTCAGCCCCACCCATGCTCTCTCCTCCCCTGGCCGCTCCTTGTCCCTTCCTCCCCTTCCCCCAGGCGCCCGTCCCAAACCAACCCTGATGAAGGGCCTCCTCTCCAACCTCCAGGTGTCTGCCTCCCAACCGTGACGTCAGGAAACACGGGCTCAGGCTTCTAACATTTATTCTGGGGTGTGAAGATTTTTATTATATAAAAAATATCACCTAATAGTGATGGAAAGATTGGTGCAAAGGAACCTCTAGTGACAGAGAAGAGACCCCTGGTCGTCAGGGCATGGATGGAGGGCAGGGAGGGTGGGACAGATTGCCAGGGGACAGACAGCGGGAAACTTTGGGGGTGACGGGTAAGTTCACAACCTTCCCGGTGTGACGGTTTCACAGGTGTCTGCCTATGTGAGAACTCACTAAAGTGCACACTTTAATTATGTGCAGTTAATTGCATGTCATGATACCTCCACACAGCTACTTGATTTTTTTAAGAAAAGGAACAAAAACAACGATCAAAGCCTGAAAGGGAGTCTGAAAAACTAACAAAAAAAATTGTGTCTAAATCCCTAATACAGCTACTTGCATTTTTCCTTTTCTTTTGTCCACATTTTACCAGGGTAGAGGGACAGGACATGTGAGCTGTTCCAGCTGCAGTGTTGTCTCACCGGTACGTTGTGATGAACTGTGAGATGCTCCCACTAAATTTATGAATCCCATTTACCCTGGTTGGCCAAGGCTGGCCCCTTTTAACATAGCACAGCATATCCAAGATTGCGTCCGTGATACTGTCAACCCCTCCCCCACGTTTTGGTCCGGTGTCTTAACTGTGGGAGCTGGCACACAGGATCTCCCACGAACCTTGGTAAATCCCTAAGAAAATGTCAGGTGTTTAGAACCAGTGATGTAAATGCTCGGTTATATCTTGACAAATATTATATCTTAAAACTGCATCGCATGTGTTCCTACATGGCCACTCATCAGGGACATTTTCCTTAAAGCTAAGTGAAATAAATCGTGGAAATAAATCACATAAATAAGCCTCCTTGCACTCCTCTCCCCGTTCTGCCAGAACAAGTTCCTAAGCACAACCTCCTCCCTGTCTCAGTTTTCCTTCCCGCCTTCCTCCCTCCCTCCTTCCTGCCTGCCTGTCTGTCTGGACAGAGAAGATAGGCCCACATAGGTCAAGAGGTCACAAAGTGTTAAACATTATGCACAACAGAACTCTCATTACTCTTTCAGAAGGGGCTTCCATCAGAGAGACCCCTTGCTACAAATCACTACAAACCTTTTGCATTCCTCACCCTGCTGGATGATTGCATTCTTCTCTCCTGCTCTGCCCCCAGTCACGTAGCTTCCCTCCTCAAAAGCAACCAATTTTAAGCAACTTTCAGTCTTGCCATTCAGCATATCAACCAGCACACAGGTCACGTGTATACCCACACACTTAGAGAGCATTTCAATCCCTAAAAAAGGATAGCAAAAATATGAACTGTTGTGCACCTTGTTTTTCACTTAATATTCAATGTATAGGATATCATTCAATATTAATATATAGTGAGCTTCCAGATTCTTTTTAAAGTTGAACAAACAGGACGGGCTGTTCCCCATGGTCGCTGCAATTATCCTTGCCGCAAGGTCTGAGACCCTCCCCCGCTCACTCACAGATTACGAGCTCGTGGTCCAACATGTTCCAGGTGTCGCGCTAAGCTCTGAGAAATACAAATATAAGCATAAATATAAACATAAACAAATATATACAGGTTCTGACACAAGTAACGCCCCCTTTTTTAATTATAAAATCTTTTATTACAAAACCGTAAGCATGTAATTCTGTGGCATAACGTCACACTCAAGCTCACCAGATGACATTTTAGGTGAAATGCTCGAATTAAAACTATAAATTATTACACCCATATTATTACCCTACCGATTGCACTCAAGCAGGCGTTACTTCTGCCTGATCCTGTGGGGGTGTGTGCCTATACCTATATCCATATCCATTTATATCCATCACTTCTTCCGCTGCCCCAGTGCAAAGAAGTTCATGCAGCTACCAGTCTGAGTCCCTTCATTCCTCCCAAGGCTGAAGGAGGTAGGGGATATCAAGAAGCATCCCCATTTTCACTACGAGCAGGAAACGGAGGTTCAGAGAGGTCGAGTGGCTTTCGCAGGGCGCACAGCTCCGGGACAGGGGCTGAGAGCATCTGAAACCACTCCCCTTTCCCCAGACTCCACCCCAGGGGCGGGCGGCGACCTGGAGGTGCGCACGTCACCCAGCCAGCGCGCCCATCTAAGGACACCACACCCACGCGGGCACCGGCCCCGGACCAGCCTCTGGGCTCTAGGAGGCGGGTCCCCTCTGGGAGGCTGCGCAGTGAAGGCGGGAGGCGGTCCTCGGCCCGGCCCGGAACGGGGACCGTGTCTCCGCGCTCGGGAGGAAAGCAAACGAGCGAACGTGCGCCGCCTGGCTTCTGGCGTTCCCGCGGCTTCTCTGCGCGGCAGTATGGGGCCGGGGCCGCGGACCGTGGAGCTCTTCTACGACGTGCTGTCCCCTTATTCCTGGCTGGGGTTCGAGGTGACGCCGAGGCCGGGACGACGAGGGCAGAGGGAAGGGCGAACGCAAGAGGCAGGGCCCACGGTCTCGTGCAGTTCCTGGCGTTGTCGAAAGGGCCTTTAGGACAGGCAGGTAGAGAGCCAGGGCTGAAGGTCACTTCGTGTTTGTAAGATGGAAACAGTCGCCGGCTCCAGGCCGAACTCTTAGATCCTAACACAGCGGTTTTCCACCAATGGTTTGGAAAGGTGGCAACTCTGAAGAATCAAGGAGAAAGCCGCTGGGCACGGCCACCTCTTAGCCCTTTCATGTCAGTTGGTGGGGGCGGCCGGGGGGGAGGAGTGCAGAACAGGATGGCAACTGTCCACAGGAGCGACGATGGAGTTCTAGGAGTGAGCGAGTCTAGCCATTTCAAGCCAAGCAATTCCGGGGGTCCGCCCAACCCCTCCTTTGCGCTTCGAGCCGCTGTCTAATCAGTTATCCTGAACCGCCCTTCCCTGTCCCTCTGCCACGCGCGCGCCTTCCCTCTGCACACTGGCTGCGATCCCTGCCTCCGCTCCTGCAGATCCTGTGCCGATACAAGAACATCTGGAACATCCACCTGCAGTTGCGCCCGAGCCTCATTGCAGGGATCATGAAAGACAGTGGTATGAAGGCAACAGCGCCCGGGGCGGGGACTGGACGAAGTGCAGATTTCAAAGGCCCAGGAGGCCTGCCCTCCAGTGGGTCTTCATGTGGGCACCAGCAGCTGGTAATTGGCCCTCTACCCCAAACCCGGGAGGGGCCCCCCAAGCCTGAGATCCTTAGGTCGCTTCTCAGAAGCAAGTACAACTTTCCACTTGCAGGAAACAAGCCGCCAGCTCTGCTTCCCCGCAAGGCCCAATACCTGACAACTGACATTAAGCTCCTGAGTGAACATATGCAGGTTCCTCTGCAGTTCCCCAAGGATTTCTTCTCTGTGATCCTTGAAAAAGGTGAAGAGCGTGGGGTACAGATGGGACAGCAAAGGGAAGGCGGCGGTCTGGGAGACTGTGGGGCCAAGGAGGAGGGGCGGGGCTGCCAAGTGCAATGAAACAAACCCTGCGAAAACTCGGCGTCCGAGTGGAGCAAACAGAAGGTTGGGGCAGGAGGGTGTGGGGGGAGGACACAAGAGGAGAAGGAGCAGGACAAGTCAGGAGACACTTGGGTGGGAGGCTGAAGGCACCTGAGCTCTGGGGGATGTCACAAGCAGGAAAGGGCAGGCAGGTCATCCAACGGGAAGCAAGCTAGGGGAGCCCTACCTGGCAGTGCCTGTGTCCCACAGGAAGTCTGTCGGCCATGCGCTTCCTCACCGCTGTCGACATGGAGCACCCGGAGATGCTGGAGAGAGTGTCCAGGGAACTGTGGATGCGTGTCTGGTCACGGGTGAGGGCAAGGCTCTGGGAGCCCTCCTGGGAGACCCTGGGTGACATGGTGGCCCTCCCCCAGGCCTGCTTCCAGACCGCTGTTCCTGCCCTTCCCTCTTGTCCACTGACCTACTGTCCATCCCGCTCCTCACCTGGCCACCCCCTTCCTGGCTGAGTGTTCTCTTCTTCCCAGGACGAAGACATCACGGATCCTCAGAGCATCCTGGCAGTGAGTGTCCCGGCCCTGCGTGCGCCCAGCCCACCCCCTCCTCTGCAGGGAATCTGACAGTAGTGGGCATTTGGGGGCGGAGAGGGCTTAGTCTCACTTCCAGACGGAAGAGGTCATTGTTACTTGGGCAGAAAGCGTATCTGTGTGGGAGAGTCCAGATTACTGAAAAGCTGGAACTGAGAGGACTCACAAGTATATCTCACAGTTGAAAGAGGAAGGGCAAAATTCTCCATTTGAATTTATTTGATGGAGGAAGTCAGTGGGAGAGAGAGGACTAACGTTAGCGACCCTTCCTCCATCAGGAGGGCTGAAGTATTAGCAAACAGCCCAACAGAAATCCCACCAGGGAATTCCATGGGAATCAGAGCCCAGCCTTATTAAAAAAAAAAAAATCCCACAAGATATTCAGGGAATCCGAGAAGTGGGAAGGCAAGAGCCCCAGACTTAGCATCAAGGGCTCAGACTTTCACTTTGGCTCTGCTCCTGACAAGCTCTGTAAGGGTGGCCCAGCCGGGTACCACCTGGACTTGTCTCCTCATAGGTTCCAGAAGAGGTCAGGAGCCATCCGTAGGGCGCCCTCTGGTGTTAGATTTATGCAACTGTAAGTCTTTGCCACCTGCTTTTTCCATCAAACTCAAGATTTGAGGAGGAAACTAGCCCTCTTGGCAAGGATAGTCCTCCGCTTGTGGGAAGGTAAAGGCCTTGCCAGGAAAACTTGGGGACAGAAAGCAGAAAGACCCGCGTTTTCTCCTGAGATCCCCTCTCCCGCTAATAGAGCCATGGTCTCGTTCCCTGTCACGTCCCCTCAGGCCGCAGAGAAGGCCGGCATGTCAACACAGCAAGGCCAGGGGCTTCTGGAGAAGACCTCGACACCACAGGTGAAGAACAAGCTCAGGGAGACCACCGAGGCCGCCTGCAAGTACGGGGTGAGCCACGCTTGATGAGTGTCCCCAGCCCCGGTGCGGAGCAGCGTCTGAGGGTCTCTGCTGGGTCCCCACGCTCCTGTCCAAAAGCCGCTCCCCACATGAGCCCTCCCTAGCTCTCCCGACGACCTTCCTCTCCCTCCCTGCCCCTGAGCCCAGGGAAAGGAAAAGGGGGAGAGAGATGGTGATAGAGGACAGGGCATCTGAGGGTCGGAAGACTCCTTAGAGCCGTGGCGTCTCTTATCCAACAGCCCTGGCCCATTTGCTTCTGGGACCTCAGACAAGTGTTGGCTCATAACCTTCAACCCCAGCCTAGTAAACTAAACACCCTCCTCCCTGCACTTGCTCTGCTTTCTCTAGGCCTTTGGGCTGCCTGTCACTGTGACCCACTTGGGTGGCCAAACCCACATGCTCTTTGGCTCTGACCGGATGGAGTTGCTGGCGCACCTGCTGGGTAAGTGACAGGCTCACACTGAGCCGCCCTTGACCCCAGTCCCACTGATATTATATCACTGACCAGAAGGACAGGTTCAGAGCAAAAAACGTTCCTGGCATTTCCAACAGGGAAGCCTTATACAGACACTGGAGCTTGAGGTCAGGTGGGGAGGGGTCACCTTCCCCAACACAGGAGGGAAGGAAGCTTCTGTACCTGGCAGCCCAGCACAGCTCTTCTGAGGGAGCCCCTGGGGGCTTGTGCCGTCCACCTCTGATGTGCGTGGTTTTCTCCATCCAGGGGAGAAGTGGATGGGCCCTGTGCCCCCAGCCGTGAATGCCAAACTTTAAGGATGCCCAGAGGAAGCAAAGCCTTGCACTCACCCCTGCTCCACCGAGGGGTGCCGGGATGGGGACCCCTCTGTGGCCCTGGCTGGGGTGCATCGTCTGCGTGACTCTCACAGCTGCTCCTCAGTGCCTTGCAAGAGCCCCAGACTCTGCCTCCCCCGGAATAAACCAAATGCCCCTGATGCAGCAGCTCTGGGTCTGGGTCTTCTGTGGCGTTTGTGTGTTCTTGTCCCCGTGGTCACGTGCTGTCTACTCCAGCTGTGGCAGAGGAGCAGCTCTGGCTGGGTCCCCAGCTCCCAGCCCACCTCGGGGGGCCCCTCTTTTTCTTCTACAGAAACTCCCCAGGGCTCTCTGCCGGGGACACCAGACTAAGGCGGATGGATTTTGCAGTTATGCAGTTGGGCACTTAGTGTCTTCCAACCAGCCACGGTGTCCGAGATGGGGCCGAAACCTAGGCCTGGTGGGCCCCGAAGGCTGGAGGGACCCAGAGTGTGGCTGAGACTGCGCCCAGATATTTGAACCGGGTCCAGCTGCGCTGACCAGTAGAACCAGAGCAAGGCCGCGCAGGGAGACCGCCTGGCATGGCCTTGGCCTGGGGAAGTGGCTCATCTCCTCAGTTCCCTCCTCTCACCCAAGTGCAGGTCCTGAGAAGGACCCAGGCCTCTCCCTGCCTATGAGAGCCTGCCGCTCTCCCACAAACCTGTAGCTTTGCTGCTCCCCCAGTGATTTGTCCAAAGCCCCTGCTCTGTCTGTGCCCTCGGTGCAACCATCAGAATGCCTTGTTTCAACAGTATTTGGACTTCTCTGCAGACACCCTCTGTTCAAAAGCCGAAGCCACCCGTGGGCGCCTGGTGGGAAGCAGGTTCGGAGCCCACGACAGCGTGGCTCCATCATCTTCCCTCTTGGCCGCTTCCCCGCCTCATGTTCTCTCTCCCTCCTCTCTCCCCCTTTTCCATTATTCCAGCATGTTCCAGGATTCCGGGTCATCCTTGACAGGCTTATCTGAAGTGATGCCAGAGGTACATCTGCAAATAAGCCTTCCCTCCTTCGAGCAGATTTCATGAGATGCTTGCCTCAGACTTATTTGTGACGTCCGATAACTTAAAAATAACAGTAGGAGGGGACTTGAATAGATCATTGTATATCTAACATGTAATGTTTCATAGCGATCAAAAACTGTATGTCTGAGGGATTACAAAGAACATTGGAAATCTTAGGATATGATATTGACTGGGAAAAACAATGAAACTATGTATTCCATAGCATGATGGCAGCCCTGGCTGGTATGGTGCAGTGGATTGAGCCCGGGCCTGAGAACTAAATGGTTGCAGGTTCAATGCCCAGTCAGGGCACATGCCTGGGTTTCAGGCCAGGTCCCCTGTGGGGGCGGGGAGGGGGGTGGCACTCGAGAGGCAACCACACATTGCCATTTCTCTCCCTGTCTTTCTCCCTCCCTTCTTCTCTCTCTAAAAAGAAATAAAATCTTTAAAAAAATAGTACTATCTCAGTTAAGTCTTTTTTTTTAATTTAAGTTATTTTATTGTTGTTCGGTTGCATTTGTCCGTATTTTCTCCCCACCTCCTCCAAACCCACCTCCCTCCCTTGCTTCCACCCTCCCCCTTGGTTCAATTATGTCTTGATACATTAAAATATATTACATTCCAGAGGACGTTAACATACTAACCCTAGAATGAAATATGTCAAAGTGTTCCCATTTTATTTGTCTACCTTTTTAAATGATCATTTATTGTGGTAAACAAATGTACATTTAAAGGAGTGAAAAACCAGAATTTGTAGATTCACCTTTGGGTACAGTTGTGCGTTCTTCCCGTTGTTTTCTAAACCTCTCCGTTGCTTAACTTAACCCTGAATCTTATCACAGGCGAATGTGGGGTAACCTCTTGTCCCAGCTGCACTCTCCCCAGATCTGCCCAGTCACCTGTGCCCCTGACCCCAGAGCAGAGCTCCGTGTTCTCTGGAGGAAGGAGACCATTTAGACTTATCCTTACATTCATATCTAGATAATGATTTCTGGAAATGTCAGCCAAATGGAGTCCAACATGAGTGTTTTGGTCAGAGTTTTCCCAAGACACAGGTTAAGTAGGATACGTATCCATATGCAGAGAAATCAGAAGAGACCGTGGTGCAAGGGGCTGAGGACTCCCACGGTCCCCCATCTGCAGTTCCCATGGAGTCCACAGCCCAACACCCAGGAGCACTGACGTCCGAGGGCGGGAGGGATGGATGTCTCAGCTCAAGCCGAGAGCACACTCACCCGTCGTCTGCCTTTGTGTTCTGCCCAGGCCCTCAGGGGACGGGGTGACGCCCACCCACGTGGGTCAGGACCATCTGTGCTGTCTGTGCATTCGAACACTAACCTCTTCCGGGAGCACCCTCCCAGCCACCCAGACACCATGTTTTATCAGCTGCCCGGGCATTGCTGGGCCCATCAGGTGGACCCATAAAATTAACCAACGAGGGGAGAGAGGGGAAAGCCCCCAAAAGAAGCTGTATTTCTTTAAGTAAAGGAGTATTCTGTTCTTCTAATGCAAAGAGAGGTTTATACTTAGGCTTCCTTCCTTCCTCTCCTCCCCTTCTGACAGAAAACTATAATATCATACAAAATCTGTGATTGTGTCCATACCCAGCATTCAACAGTGACCACTTTCTTGCATTGCGATTTCAATTCCAAGCTTACAAGAGCACAACTTCTTAGGTAAAATTCCTAGACGTGACATTTTTCTACAGAGCCAAAGTGCAAGTCGTGGTTGACAACAACCAGAAGCTGTGCAGTGCCTGTGGTTAGCGAAACAAAACAAAGCCACGTGTCGAGTGAAAACACGTTTCCGCTCCGATTCCTAGTCTTCTGTGTGTGTGCGTATCCTCCCAGAAATGTCCAAATTCTTCAACGTGCAAATGTCAGATGTAACAAGAGAGACGCTACACCCCCTTCATCGGTCTCCCCAGGGTAACATCCTGCGTAGCTACAGGACAGTGACACAGCCAGGAAACCAACTCGGAAGGGACCGTCAGCCTTCCTCAGATTTTATACCCGGTGCCACATGGACTACTTGTGTGTCTGCATTTTAGTTCCTCATAATCTTATCACCTGAACACCACGTGACCACAACCACAGCCCAGATGCAGAGCATTCCCAGCACCAGAGCTTCTCGTGCTGCTCTCTCATAGCCACGGCCACCTCCCTCCCTCCCCGCCTCCCTCACCCCTGGCAAGCGCTAAATTCTCCGTAGAATTTTGTCTTCCAAGGGTGCTGTAGAAGTGGGATCCGATCGGCTTGCTTACATTCAGCACAATGCCCTCCAGGTCCATCCAAGGTGTGGCCTAGGTTGTACTTTGTTCCCATTTATTGCTGAGTGTCTTTCCCGGTATGAAAATGCCAGTCTGTTTCATTTGCTGCATGAAAAGCCACATGTGGGTTGTTTCCAGTTTGGGGCTATTAACAAACAAAGCTGCTATGAACATTCACGTCCAGGGTTTTGTGTGCACGGAAGTTTTCGCTTCTCTGGGGTAAGAGCCCACGTGTACAATTGCTGGGTCACGTGGTGAGCGCATGTCTCGCTTTGTAAGAAACCGCCCTGCTTTCCCAGAGCGGCTGTGCCATGTTACTCCCCACCAGCACTGCCCGAGTGACCCGGGTTCTCCGCATCCTCACCAGCATTTGGTGTTATTACTATTCTTTCATTTTTGCCTTTCTGATAGGTTTGCTCTGATATCTCATTGTGATTTTAATTTGCACTTCCCTAAGGACTAATGACATTGAACATCTTTTCATGTGGTTATTTGCCATCTGTGTGTCCTCTTCAGTGAAATGTCTATTAATGTCTTTTGCTGATTTTCTAACTGGGTTGTTTCGATAAATGTCCATATTGGTTTTAATAATAAGTTTAAAAAATAGATATATACAAACTGTAAGAACACATTTTGGGGACGACTGGGGGAAAATAACATGGGCTTGGGTATTAAGTGATAGTAAGGAATTAATGTGAATTTCATTAAGTGTGATAATGGCAGGGAAGCTGTACACAAAAAACATTCTCATTCGTTGGAACTACATTTTGAAATATTTAGGGCACAGGACACCTTTTAAAAGATGGGAGACCCTTGGCTGGTGTAGCTCAGTGGACTGAGCACTGGCCTGTGAACCAAAGGGTGGCTGGTTCCATTCACAGGCAGGGCACATGCCTGGGTTGTGGGCCAGGTCCCCAGTAGGGGGCGTGTGGGAGGCAACCACACATTAATGTTTCTCTTCCCCTCTTCCTCCCTTCCCCTCTATCTAAAATTTTTTTAAGTAAAAAAAAAAGATGGGAGACGTGGAAGGAAGAGACAAAACAAGAATGGCAAAATGTTAGTGATTGTCGGTGTGGGGTGCCCAGAGAGTTCGTTTTACTATCCTTTCCTCTTTTATGTGCCTCAGCATATTTCCAGAATAAAAGTGTTTTAAAAGGTGATGTGATAAAATGTGATTCTGCAGCAGTACCTATTTCCACTCTGTCCCCAAGTGCCATGCACACAAGGTCAGCTTCAAGGACCTGGAACCCACGCGCCCACGTGAGGCTTCACAACCAGTCTAAGGCCCTGCTGCCGCTGTGCTGAAATCCTTCGTGCCTGGGAACAAGGGACCCCGTGTTTTCATGCTGGACCCCACAAATTACGTAGCTGCAGCTGATGCTGTGGGCACGTAACACATGCTGAGTAAGTGCTTATCACGTGAACAGAAGAGGAAAAGGTGAGAGGAGGGGAAAGGGACAGAGACAGCAGAACAGCAGATGACCAGGGAAGGAGAGACAGACAAAGTGCCAAGTAGAAGGGCCGAGTGGGTGTTCCAGGGCAGGGTGCTGCCGGGGAGGCAGGGCGGTTCAGAGAAGAGGAGGAGTCCAAGTAGGCGAGTTTGGGGCCATTGTCCATCACTCCCCTTCTCGGGGGAGTCGCCTCTGCAAGTCCCGGTACAAGCACAGGTGGAAACAGAAAGAGGTGGCCACTTAGACTCCAGGGTAAAAGGACTGGAGGCCGGGGGCCCCGCTGCACCACTGCTCCTTGCCTGTCCTGTGCCCTTAACCCAAGCCTACACTGTCCCTTCAGTGTCCTTACAGAGGGGCTGGGGAAGGATAAAACCCTCGGCTTGGAGCAGACACTCTTCCGCCAAGCCAAGTTCAAGGGTGTGGCTGGCTCAAGCCGATGTCAGATTAGAAAAGACTGGGAGAGGCAGGGGGCAAGGGTAGAAGTGGCAACTGAGGGGAGGATCAAGGGATCAGAAGATCATGACTCATTAAATCAATAAGCATTCACTAATTGCCAATAAATGGCAGAACAAGTATTCATTGCCTTCCCCCTGCCCAGTACCGAGAGGACGTGCAGGAATGCACACACTGCCCGCTCCTTGCCCAGGATGCCTTCATGACCCCACCCTTCTCAGCGCACAGTCTCTCCTGGGACCCCCAGCACCCCTTTGCCCCTTTGCTCACAGCACTGGACCCTGCGTACCTTGTCTTACAGTTAGTTCTACACATGTGTTTACTTCTCCCGGACAGTAAGCTCCTCGGGAGTGAGATTCCCATGGGATCTACTGTATACACCTCAGAGATCCTCCAAGTATCCACACACAGCCAGTGTGCAATAAAACAGTATCGGTCCGCGGGTAAGCTCAGGCTGAACGACGGTCAGCCAAGGCTGCTTCTGCAGAGGACAGTCAGCCCACTCCCCGCCCAGCTTTTGTATTCGGGAATTCAGACAACACACCCTGAGGCAAGGTGTGGAATGTCTCCTTCCTGCAGACTGGATTTGTCACACACGTGCCAGGTCAGGAATTCCAGATCAAGTGTTTCAACCTCCACCTGCAGGTCATGCAACATACGGTGGGAATCCACAGCACCCCCAGAAACTGCCAATCGTTATCAGAATAAAAAGTACAAGAAGACGTCCAGGTGGGCGAAAGACGTAACGGAGATGCTTGGATTAGAAAAAGCTCGTAGTCCCCAAGTTCACAAGATCATTCTTTGGGCGACTGCACAGTGGAAAGTGGTTAAGCCTTTGGTAAGAATCAGGCCCTGGAGGCTGCCACAAGCACTTCCCACGGAGGGGGACACACCCGGTCTGTCTCCGGAGCACTGGGGACTCAGTGGTCAGTGCTGTGGCACCTGAGCCCCTCGCACCAAGAAGCAATTAAGTCCCAGGGCCAGAGCAGTTTCGGGTGAAAAGGTGCAATGGTTTTTATGTGAAGACAGTGAGGAAGTGTTCTCATTTCTCGCTCCCGCTCCAACCAATGGAGCCACACCGGCCAGGGCATCAACACCCTTTTGGAAGAAGTCGCCTGCACATTGGGCTTCCAGAGCCATTCAGCGAAAAGTACTGCCTTTGACAATCAGTCTTAATGAGCTCACGAAAGATAAGCCTGGGCATACAGAGCCTGAGATCTTAATTTCCTATTCTTGCCTTGTGGCTCTAGAATCTTATTTCATTTTCCAACATTTCCTTCTGTGGCCTTTACTTTCTGAAGATCGGCCTTTTTGTAAGACTCCAAACCATGGGAAAAATCACATCTGTCCACTTCTCCAGGGAAGGCCAGAATAACGATCTGACAACATCACAGGCATGCTGTTGAATGTATCACTATGAAGGCAGCCTAAAGGGTGTTCAGAGTGGGCTTACAACGTGGTGAAGAGCCAGGGTTTCTGGACTAGGATGGCAGGTTCAAATCTTGACCCAACCCTCCATTTTTCTCAAGTTTCTGACCTCCCCCATAAAATGGATGCAATAACAGTGACTCTGATTCCATTATACAGCTATTGTTCCTTAATTTGTGCCAGTATAATGTCCAACACTGTGAGCAGGGCACACAGAATACTGCACACATGTTGGCTACAAGTGTAAAGCAGGTTCACGTTCAGAAACAGGAAAGCGGAGAAACAAAGTCTCAGAGACGCCAGCGCGGGCAGACCTCCGTTCCCTCGAGGGCAGTCTGTTGATTTTCTCCGCCTCTCCCCTCCCCCTGTCTGCCTGCTTCCCGTCACCACCCTCCCCACAAAGGAGGTAGGCAAGTAGACATCGGCCTGGCCATTGAATTAGGTGGTGCATTCATATTTTGCTAAGGACACTAAACAGGTAAAGAGAAGAGAGAAGGAAGAACTTGGGGGAGCAATTTGGCCACAAGTATTCAGGGCAATCAACACATTTCCCATTGCTCGTCTCAACAATGACGTTTCTTAGCATTCAGCAGGAGGAAATAATAAAAAAAAAAAAAAAGGAGGAAAAACTACATGTTACAAGATGGATTAAAAAGATGGTTCAGTGGAAAGGAACCTCCCAGGGTGACCTGATCACAAATTCGTAACTGGGCAGGTCACAGGGGGTAGTCCTGAGCCAGGCCTGTAACTGCTCCAGGGAAGGAGTTGAAGCTCTGGGTGCATCCAGGTTAAATGCGCCTTTGAAACACCGGAAGTAATGCCCCTGGGAGACGTCACCACCCTCGAAAGAGCACAGAAACTTAAGTATCCTGTACCCCAATTCCTGCCAGCTTTGCTTTCTCCCACCCGCACGGAATCTTCCTTATGTCCCCTCCTTAACTTCCAAAGGCGCAAAAGAAAATGCAAGACTCTCATTCTCCCGAGAATTTTAGTTCTTGCTTCTAGGCAATTGTCAATTTTGGCTCAAATAAACTACAAAAACTTTCTACAGGTTTAGACGTTCTTACGTCTACACTTGTTATACACACCAACGACTGTGGGCCGATTTCCTTCTATCAGTATATTAACTGCAGGTTGAAGTTCTTCTGATCCCAGCTGCATGTTTCCCATGTGAGCTGAATAGTCAGGAAACTGGTGGAAATGAAATAACCAGCTGTCCTCCCATGCTCCACTCCTACTTCCTACACAGACACACCTTGTTTACACAACCTCAGGCTTCCCGTGTGCCTCCTGCCTGGCCTCTCAGTCAGTCGGGGGCACAGTTGCATCCTCATCATCCTCAACACCCGCATCCCATCTCTAAACACGCAGGCGTACCTCTCTAGAAACACTTCTTCTCCCTCCTCCCCCTCTTCCTCCTTCTGCCTCTCTCTCTCTCACACACACACATTGTCTGCTGCAACAGCACGGGCTATGCCCCCCAACTGTCCTTGGGATCCGATTTGTGCCCCGTTATCTGCTAACCACCCCCCCTTGTCCAGTGGTAACTCCCTGAAGGCAGAGCGTCCAGCCTTGTCTATCTTTCTCTGAGTGCCAAGGTCAAAGTGTCCCTCTAGCCACTTTGCGCCTGCCGGCACCCGCCTCACGGATTTACTGCCTGACTCACAAGCAAAAAGAGTGGGTCCCGGACCTCTAGTGTGTGTGGTGGGACCAGGCAGCCCAGCAGCCTTCCAATAAAGTCATTCAACTATGTTTAGTGAGCACCCGCCTTGTGTCAGGACAGGCGTCACTTGCAGGGATTCAGAGATGATGGGAATTAATCGCTCTCCAGGAGAAACGCACCTTACCGTAGTGGTAAGGCGTGAAAACAGAAAATTACCATGTAAACAGGGAAGGGCCAGGGCAGGGGTAGGAAGGAATTCTGTGGTTACAAAGTGGAGACAGCCTCCCTGGAAGGCATCCTCTCGGAGGTGGCTTTTGAAGAATCAACCGGAGGTGGCTTTTGAAGAATCAACCGTTAACCGTGCCCAGAGGCAAACCCACGAACTCCTCTTACAGGCCTGTGGAAAACCAGGAGTTCACAGCTACTGCAGCGGTGGAAGCAGAACACGCCATTCCAGGCCCACAACAGTGCTTAGTCTGCAAAGCACCGTGTGATCACAGAGACTGAACAGACCGTGAACTCTGCCCCCCGCCCCACCCCCGGGGCTCAATGTGTATTCTCTAAATATGAGGCGAGGTGCTCTTAGTATAATGCGCACCAAGAAGAGGGGTAAGGACAGGCGAATTTAACTCTGGTTAAATTCACAAAGATCCCTGAGGTGGGGAGGAGGAGAACACTCCTTAAGGTGCTGTGTGGGGGGCGGTAGGGAATGGAGTGAGAAGAAATTAAAGTGGGGCTGTAGGAGGTCAGCCCTTCGGAGAAAAAGGGTAAGTGAAGCCTGGGCAGGAACTGAAGGACTGGGGCCAAAGAGAGGGCGGGGCCAGTGCGCTCCGCCTCCTCCCCCGCCTCCCACTTCCCCCACAACTACTTTCTTTGGCGTCTGGTCCAGACAGGTGAGGTAGGAACGCCTAAGGCTGCTGAGAGGTCTCGGGAGGGTCCTGGGATTGGGTGTCAGGAGCGGGTCTGGCCCCTTTTGTAGGGTCTGTGAGTCCCTGCCGTGCAGAGAGCAGGGGACGCCTGAGGGCTGGCTCTGGGACACTGCCGCCTCTGCCTTGCTGCCCTGTTCCAAAGGAAAGGAGCCTTCTGCCCACCAACCTCCCAGCCCCTGCGGTAATAACTCCAGGCCAGAAACTCGAAATCTGAGTCAGAGTCCGCAGAGGGTGGAGGACCCTTGCGGACGCCGGGTGTAGAGTGCCGGGAGTTATCAGGCTTCTGTGCGTGGCCCTAGACCTTCGTCTGTAAGATTCTCTCTTACGTAGCTGTGGCCCTGGGGCTATGTTGTGTCTACCTGCATTTTTTTTCCCTCCAACCGGAGCATAGACTGACTGGAGGAGTTGGGAAGGTGGGGTCAGACTTGGGGTAAGTGGTGCTCCCTCCCCCTACTCGCCCCAACAGGGTCTTACTGAGGGCCCCTCACTGGGAAGCTAGAGGGCTGGGGGAGAGGTCCAGTGCAAGCAATAACAGAGAAAGGGCAGGGTCTGCCCCATCACCTGGATTCCAGAGATGCCACTGAACCCCAAGGTCCCAGGGGCCCACCCAGGCCTGGATCCTGGGGGTGGAATGGCAGAACTGGAAGGGAGAAGCCAGGGAATAAGAAAGAAGGAAGGCAGGCAGAGCCATGACACAGTAAACTGGCATGATGGCCCGGAGTCAGCACTCTTGGACAGGTTTCCTGCTTTATTCCACACACACAATGCCTTGGGACAACAGCATGATCCTATAGAGAGTTGCAGAACTGGGGTGTTCACTGCTGCTCACTTATTTTGGCCATTTATTTGATTTGAGATGGAAGAACCTGAACACCCCCCCCCCCAAAGGTGTCTAATACGGTTACTTTGGTATCTGAGCCGGCCAGGATGCCAAATGCTCGTTTAGACACAACAGCTGTGTATCTTTTTGCAGGAGCCTGGGGAGGGGCCATGGTGCCAAGCCAGTCATGGGGGAGACTGGAGAAGCCACTACTCTACCTGTGCTGCGCCGCCTTCCTCCTGGGGCTGGCTTTGCTGGGCATATGGCCAGACATTGTCCCTGTTGCTTCTTTCTTTCTGACCTCGGGTGGCTTCTTCCTGTTTGCCTGCCTCCTGGCCTGCTTTCTGGAATGGGCAATCCAGTCTGGGCAGCCGGAGAGCCCAGGGTCCTCAGGCAGTGCTCGGTGAGTCAAGGGTGGGGGCAAACGGAAGGAATGCACTACCCACTCTCCATGTGCCTCTAGTCTCTCAGGTATAAAGGCTCTGCTTTCTACCTCTGTCACTGGTATCAGTGACGGGAGGTGTCTTTTCTCAGTAGAAAATAGAAAGGGGAAAGGGGCTCCTTTCAGGCAGCCACCAATGACCTTATTTCTCCTCCCCCAGAGACAATGAAGCCTTCCAAGTGCCAACCTATGGAGAAGCTATGGTGTTGGAGTCACAGGGCCACCTCCAAGAGTTGGATCAGCCGCCTCCCTACAGCAGCATCATAATTCCCCCAGGACTTGTAGAGGGACAGCCTTGCCATCCACAGGGGCCCAGGAGAGCCCAGGCGGAAAGACGAGTGGGCTCAGAGGGGTCTATGGCCCCAGGAAACCCTGGAAGAGCTCCGGTCAGCCTCCGGCTTCGGGGACCACGAGCCATGTCCGTGGCTCCTGATCTGCAGGGTGTGGTCACCCTCCCCAAACTGGAGCCTCTTACTCCACCCCCTGACTATGACGTCAGTTTTGGTCACCCTGATGATGACAATGTTTTCTATGAAGATGACTGGACACCCCCCTAACAGACTTCCCCAGGATATATCATTTCTCTGCCAGACCCACTGGTTCATTTGAGCACATTTCCCAGTGCCTTCAGAAACATCATGAACGGAGACTTTAACCCAGCAGGGAGTCAGGCTAAGGTAAGCCCTTCCCAGTTGAGATGTAGGTGGTACAATTTGAATTTTCAGGCAACATTCAGAAACCTCACCCATATTCCCTATTTCCAGAGTTAGACTGAGGGTGAAAGGAGGCGGTGACCCAGAGAACCTGGGGAATGAAGAAAGGAATCAGCATCTGAGTGACAATTATGTTGCTTCTGTTTCTGGTGCTTTGCTTCTATTAGATCACTTGTGCCTCCCAGCCTCGTGAGGTATTATTATCATTTGAAAAATGGGGATTCCAAGGATCTGAAAAATTTTATTTGCACAGGGGCACAGTGCTAGTAAATAGCATAGAAATAACTTAAACTCTGCTGTTCATATCCCAAAGCCTATTACGTTTCTGCTCAAAACAAGGTAGCCAGGCCATCCGCACACCTCTCTTCTGCCTTGGACAACTGCTGGTGAGGGGTGGGAGACTTCGTGTAGTCAGAATGGGGGGCCGCCGCGTGTCTGCAGACTGGGTGGGCTGAGTGTGCCCAGCCCACGGAGCAAAGCTCCGATGGCCCCTGCTCCACTTGTAAAGCAGTTCTGGCCCAGGGGCTAAGAGAGTAGTGCCCAATGAAGGGTCCCCATCCTGTGGGGAAGCAGTGGAGTAAAACTGCCACACGGTTAGGGTCGGTCTTCCTGTTTTGAGAATGGTGGATAGGTAGGTCAGCAGGGATAAAGCCTGAGCTTCTTGGCAGGGGTGGCGGAGCACCTAAGGATACTGTCACCCGATGTGACGACCGGAATCACTTGCCCTGCTGTAATCGCTTCAGTCTCAGCCCTTTACGCTGACCGCTAGGGTTTAACCCCAGCCCCCGGCCTGCTTCCTCAGATCCCAGCAAAAGACCAGATTGTCTGGAATCCCGTTCTGCGGCTGTGCTGTAGCTTTTAACCAGTGGGAGGGGCTCAGTCACGGCCGACCCACCCCCCTCTGGGGTGCGCTCGCCACTCAGGGCTTCACTCACAGCTCGGGTATCCGTCGGGCGACTCCTAGTGCTCCACGCCTCCTTACCCAAGCCCCAACATTTCAATAAAGTAAAAAGTCGGCCACTCGCGTCTCCGAAAAGTTTTTGCAATAGGCCAGGAAGGCGGAATGGGAGGTCGGGGGCGGGAGCCAAGATTTCCGCGGGAACCCACGACCAATCGCGAGCCCCCGTGCGTGGGGGGCGGCTCCTCGCTTTGTCCCCGCCCCTTCCCTTTCCACCCAGCCCGCTTTCCATTGGACCGCGCGTCCACGACGAGGTTCTGCGCCTGCGCACGCACAGGCTGCGCGCAGGGAGAGGGGCGTAGCGTAGGGGTGATGCCGGGAGAAGTAGGGCGCAGGCGCGTTGTCCGCTGCCAGTCGTAGGAGGGATGCTGAGGCCGCGAAGGCTTTCGGTTTGTTGGGGTTGTGGGCGGTGCACTCCCAGCCCGGGAAAAGCGAGAAATGGCGACCCCAATCGCGAATTCCCGGCCAGCCCTGCCCCTAAAGGGGCTAATGACCGCTGACAGGAGATGCAGGTGAGTCAGGGAAGATCCCAGGGCTCCTCACTGGGGCCCAGGGAAGGGGATCCCGTGTCCCAAGCGTATGGCCTTGGTGCCTTTCCCACCTTGGAAAGGTGGGAAAGCAGCCTGTCCGCACTGCCTGCCAAGGATGGAAGCCGGGCTGCTCCTCCAGGGGCGCACGTCTCGGCCTTTCCCCTCCATGCTCCAACCTCGATTCGTCCATCCTTAGGAGGGCTTTGAACAGGGGGAGCGCTTTCCATTCCTACTAAATCTCGGCTTCTGTTCAAGATTCTCCATCTTTAAGTCTTTAAAAGGCTTTTTCTTTCCCCTGCTTCCCTTCTGAAGAACTGTACTCTGTCCCTTTAACCGATGAGACCTGCAGATCCCGGCATCCTACCTAATGTGCATTTGGGTTGGATTGACTATATCATGAGCTGTATTGCTTTGGGTGTAATGACCAGATTTTCAAAGCAATCAGCACAAACTTTGGCTTTTGAGTACCTCGAAAGGACAAGGAGGTTTCGGAGGCTCCCAGTGTGTCTCCTCCGCCTGTACCCCAATTATATCCTTTAGTGGCGTGCATCACCCAGAACATTTTAAATGCCTTCTGGCCCAGACCCAGAAGATTTAGGACTTCAGAACTGGAACCTGCAGGAGCACACAGAATCAGTACTGAAGGACTCCTTTTGTGTCCTTTTCCGCACTCCTTCCTCCCCGTGCCGATGTGTTCTAAAGTTCTACGTGGTGGTGGTGGTGGTTACTTTTGGAAAGTCCACCTTTGAGTTTCCCCACGTGATATGGAATGCAGAGAGGTGTGGGGAGAACAGATGATGCTTCAAATTAAACCCGTGGAGTTTGGGGTTAAAAATTCAAGTCTGGAACTTGAAAGAGTTAAGGACCAGGAGTCTGGATGAGACAGACTGAGGACAGGTTCTTTCAGGGGGTTTCTTAGTAACCGTCAACATTTAAGGACAGGTCAGAGGTCCTCTGGAGGAAACAGGAACCCCGTGGGCAGAGAGGGGATGTGGAAACAGTGGTGTAATGGGCCCCAAGGGAGGGGAATGTTGTATTTTGTTGTTCGTTTTAGGTGTTTGTTCATCAAAGGTTAACAGCAACAGGCACACACTAAAATGAGTATGGCAGAGCCTTTTATGAATGGCATTAACACCCAAACTTCCTCCCAAGAAGAGGGCTGTTGAAACAAACTGTGAACAAGCGGTCTTTTACAATCACATGGAAAATACAATAGAGCTAAAAGAAAGCACTGGTTTCTCCTAAAACTAGATTACAGCTGTGCTTACTGTACATAACACAATTTAAAACAGATTGCAGATGTGGAATATGGTAAATTTAAAATTCATCCTTAGATTTTTATCCTGGAAAATTTCTGTTCACAAAGGCCCAGCGTAAGGGTAAGGTTTCACCGAGGAGTGGGACCAGAACATCGTACTTTTTCCATTCGAAACAAGTCTGGTCACTTAGCTTTGGGCGAAGTTTAAGGCAGCTGGGGAAGCCTGTTAGCGGCTGCCTACAGGGAGGAGAAAGTTTTAAGGAGGAAATGCTGCAGATAAGCCGAGGGAAACCTGGGGAAACCTGCTCCGTCATTGGTCTGTGTCCTGAGGAAATAGCAAGAGGGCCCCTGCAGTCAATGTTGTTATCTTGTGGTTGATACCTAATTATACTTATTCTTATCAGCGTTCACATTGGCCATTGTTACTGCTTTGATGTCTTTAAAGTGATTCTTAAATGAAGTTTTTGATCCAGAGGTGTCCAATCTTTTAGTGTCTTGGGGGCCACACATTAAATATAATCTACACATATAATCACACACACACACACACACACACACACACAGAAAGTCTCGTAATGTTTTTAAGTAGGTTGACGATTTTGTGTTGGGCCGCCTTGGTAGCCATCCTGAGCCCCATGCAGCCTGAGGGCTGCAGGCTAGACACCCCTGCTTGACCGTGTTGTTGGCAGGTTTTTACTGAACGTTTGGGGTAATGGGAGTATTTCAAGAAACGAGAAGTTAAAATGGAATTCCAGATATCGCTGTTCCCAACCCAAACTTTCACCTGAGTTGGCTAGACATTAATCTGCTTAGGCTAACCATTCCCAACCCTGGGAGTGTTTCCCTGACCACTGCCCCTGCCTTAGAGCCCACGTGCCATCTTCCTGGGTCCCTCTCAGTTCTTCCAAGACCATGCTTTTCTCTCCTCTAACTATAAATCTCTAGCGTAGAGTTAAGCCAAGTACATGCTATAAATGTGGGATATTTCACTGATGCTATGATGCACATTTTAACATCTTCGAAATGAGGATGGATCTTTAAATAGGATTTTGAGTTGTAAACCGAAGCTATTACCATATTCCTCTCTCACTGCCATGAGGCCCATTCTGTTGTCATATGTTTGGAAACTGAATAAACAGGCTGGCGAGCTCCAGGTTTATACAAACTAGGCACATGGATGATACACATTGAAATGGGATTCTTTTTAGTTCATAAACAGAAACCGCTCTCTTTCCAAACCAACAGCAAAACTGAGGAAACCTTGAAACGAAGACATCCCTAGTAAATGCAATTACCAGAATAATTTAGCCTTTATGTGCTTTAACTCTTAAAGTGATTTCAGATTATGGTGATCATGTCCGTTGTTGGTATTTATCTACTGTGACTTTCTCTCATTCTTTCTCCTTACTCAGTTCTTAGAGGATCCCGATCACTTTTCAGCAGCCTGAATAAGTAATGTGAAGTGTTTTCTGGAATAATCTCTTGATTACAGTTGGTCTGTCGGAGGAATACTCCTTCTCAGGAATACGTGTGTGCCTGTGTATGTTTCTGTGAAGGTAGCTGTGTCCCTCCCCTAGACACACTGTCTCAGAGGATGCTTTCGGTTGAACACACTCCATAAAGAATCATGTACATCATTTTCTATGCTTAATACTTCCTTGACTTCAACCAGTTTCCATAAAATATGCCTAGGTTATTGTAGGCATATTGTACCTACAGTACAGTTGGTTGTTATAAGTCCGGTCCCTGTTGATCTTCTTCCCTCCGCCTCGTGCACACCCCCCTTCCGTGCCATCTCTTCCGTTCTCGACAGCCTTTCTCTCTGCCTCTTACCGGTAGGGCACCGGGTGTGTTCGGCATGCATCCTGACCATCAGGAAGCCCTGAAAAAGAACCGAGTGGTGCTGGCCAAGCAACTGTTGCTGAGTGAACTGTTAGAACATCTCCTGGAGAAAGACATCATCACCTTGGAAATGAGGGAGCACATTCAGGTATGGAGGTGAAAGGGGAAAGCTGCGTAAATTGATCGTAGAAGTAGGAACAGAGCTTGATGCTGTGTGCAAACCAGGCAGCGCCCGAGGAAGGAGAAGACAGTGCTCCTCTACCCCAGAGCATGTACCAGAAAAGATACGTGAATCAGGAATAGTGGGAAGGACTGCACCTGTACTGTTTTTTTATGAAAGGGATTCTTGAGCTGGGTGATGACATCCTTAGGAAGCTCATCTGGAGAAATGGAATTACAGCCAGATAAGTGAACAGGCTTTTATGTTTTATTCTTGTATTGTAGGCCCAAGTGGGCAGTTTCAGCCAGAATGTGGAGCTCCTCACCTTGCTGCCCAAGAGGGGTCCCCAGGCTTTTGAAGCCTTCTGTGTGGCCCTGAGGGAGACCAAGCAGGGTCACCTGGAGGACCTGTTGCTTTCCACCCTCTCTGGTCTTCAGCACGTACTCCCACCGGTACGGAGCCCTAGACATGTGGTGTGTTAAGAAGGGTTAGTTTGGTGGGAAAGGAATTTCTGAAACGGGAGACAAGATCTGGGTTTTATTTGGACCGGACGGTCTCCCTAAGACCTGCCTTGGGGGTCCTGATTTCTTACAGCTGAGCCGGGACTACGACTTGGGTCTGTCTTTGCCGGTGTCTGAGTCCTGTCCCCCCCACAAGCAGCTCCGCCTGTCTGCAGGTGAGAATGGATGGGATAGAACAGGTCCCACAAACTGACTGCCCTTAACTGGCGTCTGGCTGCCCTAGTGTGTGATACCTGTTTCCATTCACCTTGGGAACAGTTTCCTGGCGGAATTTGTTCGGGACTGGCAGAGCAGTTTGGGGGGGGGGGGGTTAGGCAGATTTCCCTTCCATCACAGATGGTGTTTTCATGGCGGTTGGCCCTGGAGCAACTGGTAGAGGTAGGAAGTTCCTGTGTACGGTTGGCCTGTCTCCTCTATAAAGCTGAGCTGTTACGAAAATGAGAATAGACTACATTATGGGCCACTAGCCTGCTGATTGAGTTACTGCGTGATTAGAACAAGGCTTTTAGCACATCTCATGCAGTCATTCAGTGAGTTGAGCACCCACTGTATGCAGGCTGAGTCAACAGGTCTCTGCCCTCCGTGGATCTTACAAATTTGGGGACTGAGCAAGACCAGTAATGATTAAAACCCCAGTTCGAAGGGTGCCTGAAGTTACCAAGTACTAGGGTTGGTGTGTAGTTTGTGTGCTAGTTTTTGGCTTCCTATGCCACAGACGCCGTGGAACTCTCCCTAGACAACGGGGATGGCCCGCCCTGCCTTCAGGTGAAGCCTTGCTCTCCTGAGTTTTATCAAGCACACTCCCAGCTGGTGAGTCTGGCAAGATGGCCACAGGAAAAGAGTTGCGGAATGAGACGCCCTTCTTGGGCGTCTGGACTTGGTCTGCATGTACCTTCTCTCCCTGCTTTATTTATTGGTCAGAAAGGCTTTGCTGATGGGCTGTCTTCCATGGGCCTGTTTCTGTCCTGACCTGGGGGAGTTCAGAAGAGTATGATGTCTTCGTTTTCTCAAAATGTCTCATGAGGGGGCGGGCGGGCTGGGGTTTGTGTCCTTAAGGTCATAGTCTTAATTGGCCTCCCCTCCCTCCCCAGGCCTACAAGCTGAGGTCTCGGCCACGTGGCCTGGCCCTGGTCCTGAGCAACGTGCACTTCACCGGAGAGAAAGACCTGGAATTCCGCTCCGGAGGGGACGTGGACCACAGCACCCTGGTCGCCCTCTTCAAGCTCTTGGGCTACCAGGTCCACGTTCTACTGGACCAGACCGCGCAGGTACCCGACGTGACCCTCGGGGCCAGAAACGCCCACTGCTGCTCCTCCGCCCGCTGGGCTGGTGACCTAGTTACTTCCTCTGCTCACTTTTTTGCTCACTCTTTTCTGCCTCCCCCCTTGCAGCCTAGTAAAAGAAAAAGAATTAGCGTTAGCCAGCCGCCTTGCTGTTGACTTCTCGGGGTAGCTGTGCTGTCCCCAAGTAGAAGTCCTCGGCTGGGTTCTCCGTTTTCCATGTCCGGCAGATTAATTCCCAGTCCCTCAGGAAGTGGGGGGACAGCGAGAGTCACCCAGCCGACTCCGAAAGACCCTTCTAAGCCAGGGGTGCACAGTCTAGTTATTGGCGTAAAGGTGACTTGGGCAGCTGAAATTCTTAGAAATGAAAGCTGGCTGGAATTGCCCTTATAAATACCGTGTTGTGGCAGTTTAATGCATTGGCCTGTGGAAAAGTTCCTTTCTATCAGTTGTGTGGCCACGAGGCAGATCTTAGGGTGGTTGCTTCTGGACTAGATTCCTGCCCATCATAAGCATTTTCGTTATGGGTTTTTCTTCATTAACCTCCATTATCCAGCGGCACATTGGGCTTTATTACTCTTGGCTGTTGCTGTTTTGACATTGACGATAGCCTCTTGGTGGATTAATACTGAGTCTTCACTTTGATTCCAGAATAACAGTACTTTCCTGCACTTGCCTTTGGGAGTGTCCGTGGTAAGGTTAATGTTTCTGGGAGCTCTGATCTGTCCAGGTCAGGGACCTCCGTTTTGCCTTCAGCGTTGTCTGCGGTCCCGTTCCTGGTTTTCCAGCTGTCTCGCTTCTCTGGGAAAAGTTAGGTATTTGCTCCACTCCCGGCGATGAGGCCGCTTCCATCAGGAGACACTCAGGTGTTCTCCTTCCCCGCAGCAGCCCATGCAGCGCAGCGAGGGCCTCAGAGCCACGGCTGGGACTGCTGCTTCAGACCGGTCTGCCGGGCGTGGAGGGAGCGAGGCTGGGGCATCGGCCCCGATGCCGGCACAGGGGATCCTGTTGAAAGTCAGTGAACGACACAGATGTTTCCCACGCTCCCTCGCAGGTTTTGCTCTGCAGGTTTTGCTCCCGTCATTCCTTTCACTAGGAACTGATGTTCTGGTTTTCCAAATTGTGTCTTGTCATTAGGGACCTCACATGCGTGGCAGTGTGAAATGCAGCCCTAAACAGCCCTGAGTCACCACGCAGCTGTAGGCTGTTGTTTTCAGAGACAGTCACTAGAATTGAGGGACCCATGAGCCCACTCTACAAGCACCGTTCCTGCTGGTGCCAACCCTGACGCAGACTCCGGGACCCCAGGGGTTCTCCTTCTCCGGTCACATCGTTCCGTAACTGCAGTTGCAGCAGCATCTGATTTGGGGTGCCTCAGGGTGGGGCAGACTGTGTCGGGAACCAGGGATGTCAAATGTGGGCCTTGGGTTCTAGGGAACTTCGGTTAGATGAGGAACTCTCGACATCAGCAGAAAGCAAAGCACGTCCCAGGTGAGATTAGAGACGGAGTCTTCTACAGAAGATAAGAGAAAGAAACAGTCCCCAGGGTAGATAGGGCCTGAAGGCTAAATGGAGACCTGAATTGGCCTGGAAGGGCAGCTACGAAAGAGGGGCGTGGTGCAGGGAGCCAGGGCAGGGAGGACCCCTGGTGGACCGGTGGGTAAGTCAAATAGATGCCTAGGGCAGAGGAGTGCCGAAGATGAGATTGGAGTTGAGGGGGGCAGATGCAGGGGGCCTTGAAAGTCTTCCCCAAGGAATTGGACGTCCTTGTTTTGGCATTAGAACATCATTAGCGATTCTTGAATGGAAAGTGATGCATTATTCACGCGACGGTTCAGGAAGACTAATAAGACTGCATCGCGGTGAATGGAGTAGAGGCTGGTGGCAGGACATCCATCTCGGAGTGGGAATCGTCGTGCCGGTACGAGAGGGTGAGGGAGAGGGTGAGGGCTGGACGACGCAGTGAGCTGAAGGGAGGGTGTGAGGAGCAAAATGCCGTGGTTGTGCTTCCAGTGCCTGGTGGTTGAATAACCACATATAGAGGGGGTGGAGAAGCTAAGGAGGAATCGAAGGCCTCAGAGGAGGTCAAGACCAAAGCTGTGAATTTGGCAGTTGTGCAGGAAAAATATTCAGTGAGAGAGTATGAGATCTTTGAGAAAGAGATTAGAGGAACGAGAGCAAAAGGCTCAGGACCGAGCCGTGGGAGCCGGCCCTGCAGGCAGCCTGACCACCAGCTCCGGAGACTCAGAGCCACGAGGGGGACACCGCGGAGCCCGTTTGTGGTGGGGGCGGGACTCTCGGGCCCCTCTGAAGTCCCGTGGTCACAGAGGGGTGGTGATGTGGGCCACTGGGCCCCCGCACAGCATTCATTCTGGAAGGGCCTCTCAGGAAACTCCACTCTTGTTTTATAATTACTTGATGAGCAAAGAAACAACCAAAAAATTAAGAGCCTTTCTTTTTTTCTTTGGACTCCAGAGAAAATTCCATTTACAGTTGCAGACGGTGTGTCCTTGTAGAGAACCCTGCCCATCCCTGACGGGCGCTCACTGGCGTCCTCGCTGCTCCTGCTGGTTCTCAGTTTTTCTCTGTCCTCGGTCTGTTCTCACTGCGTCTCCTCCGTGAGGCTGCTAGTTCTAGAATTACAGATCATCATATGTGAGGAAATGGGACGCATTTTAAGTGACAGGTATTCTTACCCCGTGGCATTGGTTTTTAACTTGCATTTGGGTCACAGGCTGCTTTGACGACATAGGGGCAAGCTGTGGGTCCTTCCAGGAAAGGCTGCCCACAGAACCATGCACAGAATGTCAGAGGGCTCAGGGGCTATTCCCTTCTGCTGCCCCCACCCGCAGCCAGACCACAGGCACGGGAAGACTGCTGTTTAGATAAGGGCTGTGATTTGACCGGAAATAAAGCTACAGATCCTACCTGAAGCTGTGCTGCCTTTGGAAAAAATCCCCCCAGGTGATTCATTCCCGTTTGTTGAGTGGTTTAGTCCTGTCGATTCGGGTACAAAGTGTGCGTTCATTCTTTGGGCTTTTCTGTCCTCCGCCTGCTGACCTGATCGTCTCACTGGAGTTCTGAGGCCTCGTGAGTGGGGCCACACGTAGATTTGTGTTCCCTTCCACGAGCAAACGTAACCAGCACACGTCAAATTCTGTTGCGGTCGACTCGAGAGGAGCCTTCCTACGTACGGATTCCCTCGAGGTTACGTGTTCTAGAAATAAATTAATTTTGAATGTCTTTTACTACCTTCAGATTTCCAACATTATGGGTGGCTTCCGTGTGTCCAGAAAACATACGTACTGTGTCGGCGAAGCCCATTTCTCCGTTTCCTGTTATGTTGAAGAGGTTCAAGTCTTGTGTAATGAAGCCTCAGTCGTGTGCAGGCGATTCAGTTGGCCCTTGAACAACACGGGGTTCAACTGCGCAGGTCCACTTACAGGCAGATTTATTTAATTTTTTTTTCAGTAAATACATAGTCAGCCCATTGTATCTCTGGGCTTCACATCCCTGGATTCAGCCAACCTCAGATCAAAAACTATTTTTGGTTCACTGTTGGGGATCTGAGGATGTGGAATGCTAACTTATGCCTTGGTCTGCACCATTGTATCTAAGGGACTTGAGTATCTGCAGATTTTGGTATCCTTGGGGGGTCCTGGAACCAATCCCCTACGGACACCCAAGGACAACTGGTTAAGTTCTGGGGGAATCAAAAATATGTGTGGATTTGTGACTGGGGTGTTGGTGCCCCAATTCCAATAGTGTTCGAGGGTCAACTGCATTGCAGACAAACCGATTGGTAGTTCTTGGACTTTGCGTATTGATTTCGGAATCGCTGAAGTCTTGTTAAACGCAATTGCCGAGGCCCAAGACTTTGCATTTCTTACGAGTGCCCAGGTGATGCCCGTTCTGCTGTGTTGGGGACCACGCCGTGAGAACCACCACAGTGCATTCCAGAAGGGCGTGCTTTTTTGTCGAGGGCTGTGTGGTGTAACTCTTCTGCCCGGGTAGCATGTTTGTCTTCACTGTGGTTCATTCAAGTTCATAATTGTGGTTCGTTCAAGTTCGTAATAAAGTGGCTTCTCTGAGCTACGAGAGACAGCCGAGACAAAAGTTCAGCAGTTAATGTCAGATTATTATAACATAGCTTCCCATGGATGGGCGAAATGCTTAAGTTCGGGAGGTACGCCTATGGCGGCTCAGGGCTAGATAAGCAAGATTCTTAATTTGGACTGCAAGGTTGACCAGTAATAGGTTTCTTTCGTGAAAAAAATGGTAATCGTGTTACCATTCATTAGACCTGCACATAACATTAGTGCAGATCATTGCAGTGTGTGCCAGACACAGCTATAAGTCCTTTCTTTTCTCACAAAATGGGTAGTAGAGCCTTGAGGGGCTTCATAACTTGTACCAGCTTTGAACCCAGGGATCAGACCTCAGTCTGCCTGAACCTGTAGCCACTGCACGTAGTCCTGGCCCTGACAGAATCTTCTAGAACAGCGTGCTCCTCCCTGAACAGGTGTTTTCTGTAGACACGATCACTGTCTCTGCGCACGTCAGCTCTGTCATCATGGTCCTATTAGTCCTTTGTCACTGAGCAGTGTGTTTTCTCACAGCCCCATAGGGGACCCTCATTCACAGCTCAGTAGGTGGTCCCCCCCCCCCGCCGTTTGTGTGCAAGGGCATTGGCTCTGAAGAAAGGCCTGGTTGGTGATTGGGAAATGGACAGAGTTAGCTGGCTCTTGGTTGTCTTCATTGACTTGCTCTGATCCAGGAGTCAGCATATCTCAGTCAGTGAATTTTGTGCCGTTGCATGCAGAATTCTGTGTCTCGGGTTGTGCTTTCTTTAGCCTCTCAGAGGGTCTCTGACTTCCCTTACCGTGGACCGCAGAAAAGTGGTGCTGACTACAGCGAACAACACTAAAAGGTATCTTTCTTCCAGGAAATGCAAGAGAAACTCCAGAATTTTGCCCAGATGCCTGCTCACCGTGTCACCGACTCCTGCATAGTGGCCCTCCTCTCTCATGGCGTGGAGGGCGGCGTCTACGGTGTGGACGGCAAGGTGCTTCAGGTGTGTGCAGTTTGCAGACCGACGATGTTCTTAAGGCCGGCCCTTGTCGCACAGTGCTGGCTGCTGCGGGGGGCAAGGACTCAGGAGGCCCTACTGACTGCTTAACCTCCCTTCTCCCCTGCTTCCGCCTGGCAGCTGCAAGAGGTGTTTCGGCTCTTTGACAACGCCAGTTGCCCGAGCCTCCAGAACAAGCCGAAGATGTTCTTCATCCAGGCCTGCCGCGGAGGTGAGTGCCTGGAGGGCCGGCCCGGGGAGGGGGCTCCTGGGCAGCCCCCCCAGCTCTCACTTTCCTGTTTGCTCCTCTCAGGTGCTATTGGACCCCTTGGGCACCTCCTTCTGTTCACTGCTGCCACCGCCTCTCTTGCTCTGTAAGTGTCCCCGATGCATGGGGTGTGCTGGGACCTGGCAGTCCCTGGCTCTCAGGCCGCCAGCTCTCCGTGCACCGCCACGCCCTGTCCTCAAGACTCTTGTGGACGTCTTTGCCTCCTGTTCTGAGGACTCTGACTCTTTTCCGTGCTTATCAATAACCCTGATGTGCTTTTTTGGTTACTCCTTCCGGTTAGGGACTTTCTGTCTGTCCTTCCTGTCCCTCTCGCTTTACCCCCTTCCTCTTTTCCTTCCTCCCTCTTTGGTCTCTTTTTACTTTCTCTTCTCTTTTCACCTGCCTTGCCATCCTTTCCTCCCTGCTTCTCTTCATCATCCACGTGCCGTGCACGTCAGCGGGGGCCCCGTTCCTCAGCTGCTGCCTCCCTCTACTCTCGCCCGCAGCCTTCTGCCCCAGGACTCCGTGACGGGGCTCAGCAGACACGTGGGTGCGCCTCTCACCGGGAGGGAGCCCGTAAGAATGAAAGTTCTCACTGCAGTCAGATTCTGCCTCTGCCACTAGCCAGTCAGGTCGCATTAGAGAAGTCACTTGATGTCCCTCTGTCTTTGTTTCCTTCATACAAAATGTAGAGAGTCATCAGGCCTACTTCATTGGGTTGTTTCGACGACTGAGTGAAGTACTACAGTACTACGTAGGAAGGGCTTGCTTAGCGCAGTCGCTGGCTCTTAGTAAATCCATGAGAAATGCCGGCTACGATGGTTGTAACGTGACCAGCGCCTTCAGGGGCTTGTGGTTGGAGCAGAGGTCACTCTGTCCAAATACTCAAATAATTTTTTAATCTGTTGCCTGTTCAACACTTGTAAATGGTTAATACTGCTTCTATTCTCCTACTATCACCAAAGAAGGTAACTGATTAAGGTCCTGCACCGTAACTAGAGCCACTCCAGGTACTATCACAAAGCGAACGACATCGTGGTCGCTCCCAGGCGCCTGCTAGTGACTCGGAAGATAGAGCAGACACACACGAAGTTCCTGTAGGCTCGTTCAGAGGCCTCAGGTCAGCAAGGGTGGAATTGGTGAGCTACAGACCATACACAGGAAGACGCAAGCCGTGAGGAATGGGCCACTTTAAGTCAGCTCAGCTTGAAGAGATTTTCCTGGGCAGGTTGAGGCTTAATTTGGACCCATAGGCGTGGCTAGCAGGAGGAGCCTTTCGAGAGTAAAGGGGGAAATACAATATAGGGCAAGCATGGTGAGGTTAAGAGAACGGCCCAACCCCCCGAAATGGGGTGTCGAGTCAGAAGCAAGCCCGGATCTCATTTAAAAACCAAGCATCTGTGTGATATATCATGTGCGTTTTTCAGACTGTAAGACGCACCCCCCACCCCCGCCCGGAGGAATAATGGTTGTTAATGCTGCTGCTGAGTTCTGTTTACATGGACATTGATGCAGTATTACGTTGTTTATCTTACTAAATATTTCACCACATTTTTTCTTCGATGTTTTTTTCCTATTTTCCTCTAAAGCCTGGTGCATCTTATGGTCTGAAAAGTACAGTATATAGTGAGGTGTGGCCGACCACATGAGGTCAGCCAGCTGATTATAAACATTTAGCCGCAGCTGAGAGTTTGGGGCCTCAGCAGATAAGAGTATCGAGCTTTGGGGAGCGTATATAAGAAAGGAGTGGTGATTTTTTTCCTGGCATCAGCATGGCAGGAAGCTGCATTAAGAAAAGAGTGCTGGGGGCAGGAACTGACTTTCATTCACCTGCTGTCTTCCCAGGCCCAAAGCATTGCCTGATAGACACGTGGTGGCCTCAATAAATAGTGGATGACGGGATGAAGGTTCTCCCAGTAACAGAAAACAGATGTGGGGATATGGTAGAGAAGGAACCGGTAACATTTATTAATTAATAGATCTGAAGGCAAGAAAGGAGTCTCCTTCCTTTGAGGGACACATGCAACTTGTCCTAGTTCCTTCAGGAGGTGTCACCAGCAAAATACAGTGAAGTAAAGACACAAAGCACTGTGTCCTGTATTCAGAGACACACAGAACCCCTACGTCTGGGTAGGGAGAAGTTGCTCTTTCCTGGGGCGACCCGAGTCTTCCTTCTAAAATCAAGTTCTTCAGTGGATGACCAGGGGCTTGCTGCTCCTTGGAAATGAGCCCACCCGTCTTCAGCCATATTTCGTTAATATGACAGGTCTGTAGAAAGTGCTGCCCCGCCCCAGTTGACCGCCTCCTAAGCTGGAGCGGAAGCTCTAGGAGGGGGAAGTCTTCACTCGATCCCCAGGGCTTAACACCAAAGTAGCACTTGGCACGTGGCCGCTGCCCAACACATTCTCAGAGGACCCGTGAGTCTTGGCCGTTTCCCGCACAGGTCTTCACGCTTCCCTGTCCGTCTGGGCTCTCGAACGTTCCGTCGTGGAGCAGCAGTGTTGCAAAAGAGCGTACTTTTCGTCTTGGGTGTGACGAGCTGCGTGTCCTGCCTGTCTCTTTCCTGTCAACATGCCCTGCCCCCCCTCCACTCCCCGAAACGAAACATCAAAAAAGGGGTCGTGTGCGGGTAGATCAGGCCTCGGTCAGGAGGCTGGGCGCGTGCTCAGGGCAGGTTGAGGAACTACTGCAGAAACTGAATAATAGTGTACTTCAAGTTTTTCCTCTGAAATTGCTCTTTCAAACCTTGGGTGCCTGGTACAATTTGGTTTGTGAAATTAATAGACAAGTGGTAAGTGCTTTTAAAAAACACAAAAAATGCTTTGGAAATGACTGGTCGTGCTTAGTTTTATAACCTTTTTATTGATGCAGATTTCAGGTGTTTGACTTTTACATGGCACACACATAGTGATCATATTTTTGGTTTATTAACTTGCTTTTTCTTTTATAATAAAACTGAATACGTCTGCCCCAGCTGATGTGCCTCAGTGGGTTGAGCGCCAGACTCAGTGAATTGGTTGAATTCCTAGTCAAGGCACATGCCTATGTTGCGGGCCAGGTCCCCAGTAGGGGGTGCTCAAGAGGCAACCACACACTGACGTTTCTCTTCCTCTCTTTCTCCCTCCCTTCCCTCTAAAAATAAATAAAATGTTTTTAAAAATCTAAATATATTAGGTATTCTATTGTGTATTGCAATAAAGAAGCACTGTGACTTCCAGGTGCGTTGCTCAGTGAGCAACTGAAACCATTTTAGTTCTGTTCACCAGGAGCTTGGGATTCGGCGCCTTCCCCCCACAGACCGGCCAGCTCAGACCAGGGGCTTGTGCGCCCCTCGACAGATGCATGCGGGGAAAGGAATGGGGATAATGGGTTTCTGTGTCTTAACTCCCAGGTTGGAGGCGGCAGCCGGAAATGACTCTTCCCAGTCAGTGTTGTAGGGACCTTGGCCTTGCCCGTGTCGGGCCCAGGAGAGATGGGAGGGGGTAACATCCTCGTCCACTCTGTGCCTTCCTGCAGATGAAACCGACCGCGGGGTGGACCAGCAGGACGGCAAGAGCCACGCCCCGCCCCCCGGCTGCGAGGAGAGCGATGCTGGTCGGCAGGAGCTGCCGCGGATGCGACTGCCCACTCGCTCGGACATGATCTGTGGCTACGCCTGCCTCAAAGGTAGCGCCGAACGATTACACTCTCTTCCACACTCGCATTTTCTCGTGTGAGGCTCTCTGACGGGTGGGTGGTGGAACGAGGGGCCGCAGATGGCGAGTTTGGGACATCCAGCTCTGTGGGTGAGGGTGTCCCGGGTGACCTTCACACTGGTGGCTCCTGTCCTGGCTGCAGGGACTGCCGCCATGCGCAACACCAAACGGGGCTCCTGGTACATCGAGGCCCTCGCTCAAGTCTTCTCTGAGAGGGCTTGTGACACCCACGTGGCCGACATGCTCGTCAAGGTGAGTCGGCTGCACCTGGCGCCCTGACCCTCCTGCACCCCCGCAGTCTGCCCCCGCCCCCCGCCTGCTTCGCCCAGTCTCTGCATCCTCCCTGTGGTACTGACACCATGGAAACGCCAGGCTCTCAGACTCTGGACCCTGCGTGTTTTCCTTGCCTTCCCAGGTGAACGGACTTATCAAGGAGCGGGAGGGCTACGCCCCCGGCACAGAGTTCCACCGGTGCAAGGAGATGTCGGAGTACTGCAGCACCCTGTGCCGGCGCCTCTACCTGTTCCCGGGACACCCTCCCGTGTGAGGCCACCTCCGTCACCCGGGACCGCGGGAGGCGCGGTGGAGCCTCTTCGGGACTGGGGTTTCCGTCCTCCCCCTCAGGGACTCGGAGTCCCCAGGCTGGTTTCATGCCCGTCATCTTTGCCGTGGCGTCTGGGACTGCAGGCTGGCTCCCGCCGTGGGAGGCTTGCTCCCCGGGGGCCGGCGGCCCTGGCAGGACTGGTTGCCAGGAGCTCGGCTTCGGCTTCGAGAGAGGAGCCCAGCGGCGGGGTTGGGAAGCGCCCTGTTGGCTGGAGAGGTCTCCTCCATGGGGGTGCACCCTTCCTGTGCCCCGCTCCTGTAGGTGGCACTTTGGTCGTTGCTTTTATCACATCAGGACATCTCAGAGGTCACCTCCTGCCCTTCATATCCCAGCCTACTTTTCTGAAAGAGAATTTGGAAGGCGTCTTATTTAACGTAGGCATTTGAAGGAACAGACGGGACCAGAGACACGCTCTGCTGCTGTGTGTGTGGAGGTGACCTGTGCGTTCCTTCAGGGCAGCAGGGCCACCCTGGGAGGGACAGTCTTCCCGTTGCCACTGTGGGCTCTGGACTTCAGGAATCCAAGCTGTCACAGAGGTGGGGCTGGGGCGCACCTGGGACCTGTCACTCAGCAGTCGTTGCCCGGGAAAGTCCCAGAGATCTTTCCTCTGCGCTCTTACTGAAAGGGCCCGGCGGGCAGTGCATCTGAGGCAGGTCACGGTGGTACCTGTAACCTGTCGCCTTGCCTTTCTTACCTGGCTGTCACCTCCCTGCTTCCTGTCTCTCCCCTGTTCGTTTCATCCTGTTCACTGCTGCCTCCAAATCTGTCTAAACTCCTGCTTGCTGGTGTCATTTGGTTGTTCAAGGATGCAATGTAGTACCTTGTTCCTGCTTTCTGTTCCGGTGCTGAATCCCCTTTTGATTTTCCAGGGCCGATTTCCCCGCCCTCGCAAGTCTCCCCACCTCGGGGAGCCCTTGGCCGTATTGGCATACGTGTTGTTTGCCCCGGGAGCCCTGTTCCTCGGTGCTGAAAGGGTACTCCTGCTCCTGAAGGCCTCCTTGACTTCCACTCTAGTGTCTGTGTGACAGATTTGGGTTTTAAATAGAAGTCTGCTCATCTCACTCCCCTGCTGGGAACGCGTTGCTTTCTTCTCAAACCTCAGATGACGTCCAGACTCCTTCCCTGGGCCTGCAGAGCCCCTGCCTGCCCCGTAGTTGCATCACGCGTGGCTCTCTCTCTAAGGGAACAGCTGCAGTGGCTTTGTCCATGTCGGTCCTGCCCTGAGCCGTCGCGGACACTCCCGGGCCCACGGAGCGCCACCCTCACCACACGTGGCTTTGGTGGTTTTGCCCCTCGACCTCAGTTCAAATCCACTCTCTTGTGGAGGCCTCCTCAGGCCATTGTCTCTCTCAGCGTGACTGTGTTGATTACTGGCTCCTGTGTTCTGTTTAATCCCTTCGCTGCGCTTTTCCTAACCTATAATGATACACCGACCTGCTTCCCTGTCCGTCTGTCTCCCCTACTAGGCCGTAAGCTCCATGGGAGCCCAGACTTTGTCTTGTTCACCAACATCTACCCCGCTTCTGGCACGTAATCGGGGCTCCAGTAAATGTTCGTTGAAGGAAGCAGCCCTCGCTGGAACCCTGCCTTTTGACTGTACACAGTTTGGTGTTTTACTCTGAATTGTTTGGTGTGTTTTGTCTCATGCGCCGGCATTACAAATTCCTGAGGCTGTGTCACCTGTGAGACAGCTTCCTCCACTGTGTCGTAGTTGAGGTGCTCAGTAGATGCCCGTCCGTGAGCCAGGTGGTTTGGAGACTTGGGGCCCCGTCCTGCTCTCCCTGGGCTCAGGGCTGTCGGGAAGCATTTGGGTGATGAAACCTTTCCAGTTCCCACTGCCAGGATGTCGCGTTGCCATCAGGTGCCAAATAAATGCTCATATTTATTACCGATGTGCGTCTGCCGTCTCTGTCTGCGGATAATCACGTGGTGCCTACTTACTCTTAGCCCCTTGCAGCGTTCTCACCCCTCCCAGGGCCTACCCCTTCTCACTTTGCTGCCCGATTTTTAGTAGGAACAGATCCATGCCTGAGATGAGCCCATCTTAGTTGCACGACCGCGGGCAGTGTGGCCAGCACTGGGCCGTCTCAGGGCCAGAAGAGCCGGAAGTCGTTACCAACCAGTATCGGGTCTGGATTATTTCAAGTAGGTGGGGAAGGCTGGCGTGGGAGGGTAATCAGGCTGGTAGAATCCCTTACCTCACATGGTCCAGTTTGGGTGGAAGGTCTTCTAGGGTGGGCACTGGGCAGAGAATTGTCAGGCAGCCAGGAGCAACCTAGGCAGCGGGCTGCGTGCGCCTGGGGGAATGAGGGAGCCACGCCTAAAGGGGAGACCTGGAGAGGCCAGTGTCTCCGTGCAGGTGGGGCGGGGAGGTTTAGCGGGAGGGGAAATTCCCTGGGACCACTGTGGCAGGAAGAGCCCTGGGACCTGGGAGGAAGGTGAGTGCAGAGGAGGAAGAGCGGGAAGGGACTGCGGGACTAGGACCTCCCTGAGTCCCGTAGTGCCCAAGTTCACCACCAGGGGGAGATGGAGAACTGGCTGGAGGGGGGGCCCTGGGGGCAAAGGGCTTGAGAAGGGGCAGGTGGTCGGCTGTGCTGTGAGAAACCTGGGGGGATCTCCTCGGGAGAGGGAGGGACGTGAAGTCTAGGAGAGGTTTACAAAAGTACTGGAGTGGCAGGAACAAGGTAAGCCCCCGTTTGGGGAGTAGGAAGGCGCAAGGAGGTGTGGTAAACGCGGGAATCACAGAGCAGCATCCGCCTCTGAGCTGGAGTCCGCGTCCTCCCCACCCCCGCCCTTGACTGAGGGTGTCAGGTCGAATTGCACCGTCTCTGCCCCCCTCCCCCAGAGGCTCACCTCTGCCAGGGGATTCTCTTCTAAAATTACCTCCCTGAGCTGGGGGCTGCCCCGTGCCGCCGCCTCCAGCCTGCTTCCTGCACAGGGAAGGGAATGGGAAGAAAGGAAACAAGTCTTGGCGAAGGAGGAAGGCAGGCCTCCAGTGGGGGGAGGAAGTCCCCAGTAGCTGCAGCTGACAACTGGTGGGCATGTCCGAGGCGCGGTGCTCGGAGCCTCCCCACCCTCCCCACCGTCACATACAGCAGTCACTTTCCCATTTTAGAGCTGAGGGAAATGAGGCTCAGAGACCTGCAATTGTACAGAGGAGAAAATGACCCTGTTGGTTAGAGCGTCACCCTGATATGCCAAGGTTGCATGTTCAATCCCTGGTCAGGGCACGTACAAGAATCAACCAATGGATGCATAACTAAATGGAACAACAAATTGATGTTCCTCTCTCTCTCTCTCTGTCCAACATCAATTTAAAAGTTCTTTTTTTTTTTTTATTTGAAAAGGGAAAAATGTTACTTTAAGGGCATGAACTTGGAATCAAATAGACTGAATCCTGGCTCAGGCTTTGAAGATACTGGAGACCTTAGCTACGGTACCTAACCTCACGGAACATCAGTCTCCCGTATCGAAAAGTGAGGAAAATTATTTGTACCTTCAAAGGTCCCCACGAGGACTGAAGGTGATGCCGTACAGCAAATTGCATGGTGTTAACACATTAACTATCTCAGAAAATGAGCTCCAGTTTAATGACCCTAGTTCACATGCACTGCGGGAGCGAACACTGTGCTCACTTTTTTGCATGTGTTCTTTTATCTCCGTGTCCGTGACCCTCTGAGTCACTGCCTTTCCGAGGACATGGAAAGCAGCATGGGGAGTAATCTGTCACCTTGACTGTGCCCTTTTTGCTTACAGGACTTTTCTCCTGGCAGGAGACTGTTCTCCTTCCTTACCTTTGGGAGCTATAGATTTTTCCCACTGAGCTGGGAAAATAAACCTGAGACCAAAGACTTTATTATTATTCCATCTCAGCCCTAGTTAGGGAGAGAAGGGGGTGGGGTGGGAAGTGTGTCATGCTTGGAAAACCAGAAGAGGGAGAAAGAGACCCGTCCTGTGCTATCAGCAGGGCCTCCCAGGGCACGGGAAGAGACCAAGGGTGTTTCAAGGATCTGGAAGGTGCGGTCCTAGAAATGACTGCCACTTGGTCACTTGGACAACCTTCCTTCCCATAGCACGTCCATAAGCCTGTAGGTTTTAACTGTTTAGTATCCTGGACCCCAGAAGAATATGTATGATATACAACATTTGTATCTAATAGAATACATGCATGCTTATGAATTTGTTTCCAAATTGAGCTTTCCACAGAACTCCCTGGAAATCCAGCTTTGTCTATCCATATAAGAACCCAAGGACTGTACCCACCAGAGGATGGGTAGGGGAGGCTGGGCAGAGTCTAAATTTGATTCTCTTGTTCTCTTACAGGGTGATAACCCATGAGGTCTCAACTATAATCGCACAGTCCAGGTAATGCCCCTCGCACCCTGCACTAGCAGCTGTCGACTTCCTTGACCTTCCTCATTTCCGAATCTGGGTCTCGGAACTGCAGCTGCTGCTTCTGCTTGGCTCGGTCCAGTGTGAGGGCCACCCCAGCCCCACGGCGCTAGCCTCCACATCTTGGAGTTCATAACCAGGACCTGACTTTCTCTGGAAGAGTGAAGAAATAGTGCCTTAGATACTTGTTTCTTGGGATTATCAAGACCCTCCAGAAACTGGCTGCCTTCGGGAGAGCTGTACTCCACAAACAGCTGAAAATCTTCCCAATTTCTGAAGCTCCCTCCCCGCCCACCCCCAAATATAAGTTCACTTAGCACTGCATTTTCTTAAAGACAGTATTCGTTTCCTCTCACACTGACCCCTTAGAACTCTTGTTTTCTGCCTGCAGAGCTAGCAGAACCCTTGGTCCCTTGACAGGGCACATGGTCATCTTTGTGGGTGGACCGTAAACCTTCAGGTGCGGAGGATTCATCTTACAAAAGGTGCTTCTGATGATTTCCACCTTCCCACCTGCTGTGCACAGGGCTTAGATCCAAATTTACCTGCGGACCACATATTCAGTGTCCCTGCCCTACTGTGCCTGAACTTGGACCGTCCTGGGACAGACCCCACTTGGTGATGGACCCTAAATGACCCCCTCGATTATGTCTCTCACTTCTATTGTGAGGAGTTCACAGGAGAAAGAATGTCCTAGGAAAATTGGCAAAAGGAGATAAAAATGTGATGCCAGATCGTTTGTCGTTGGCTAAAAATGATTTACTGACCTGAAGAAGAGAAGAATGGCAAAGTACTTCCCCATCATCCTTTGTATTTGTCGTGAGAAGTGCCCCTGTCTGCGGCCCCTGGCCCATTTCCCCTTTCCCGTTATGCAACCCAACTAGACAGACCCGCTCCTCAGTCCACACAGAAGCTCAGTCCCTCCCCGTGAATGCAGGCTGCTGGTGCGGCGGACACTTACTGGTCTGGGAAGTGGGAGAAATGCCAGAAGCCTGGGCTCTGCCCCCCTTGCTTCCCACAGCACCCCCCACCCAGTGGGTGCGAGATCAGGGGCGACAAGGAGTGGCACTGAAGCATGATGAGCAGCGCCCCGCAGACAGAAAAGGCAGAGCTGGAGGAGAAAACAGAACATTGGATGGGTGGGGAGAGATGCCCAGCAGGCGAGGACCACACCGTGGTTGGAGATGCAGTGGGAACAGCCCAGCAGGGAGAGATGGCAGAGCAGCCTCAGCTACTCCACGAGGTGAGTCACACTCCAGTGTTTCGGGGCCTTGGAGTCACCGTCCAGCAGGCAGGGAAGCCTCACCTTTCACTTACTGGGGGAGAGATGGGACATTTTTTTTTTATTTGAGAGAGAGGGGACACTTCACTGGTGCAGGTTTAACATGCTCTGGGCACACACAGGTTTGAGAGCATGCTAAGCAGTTTTCCTTCCTGGCCTGAGCGATATTTATAGAGGGACCAGGGCCTTGGGGCTGGAAGCCTCCTAGTGACGCAGAAGGGGGACAGCGCTGCTGCCCAGCCGAGGGAATTCCCTGTGGGGCTGTCCCTCAGGTCGTCACCCTGACCTCCTCCCCACCCACACTGCTGTCACACCTGCTTCGACCCCGAGCAGATCAGATGTGGCTGTGGGGGGTCATGTGATGGAGAAAGAGCTATAAATAGCTGGGGGTGGGCATGCTGCCCCAGACGCCTTGGGGACAGGCAAGAGGACAGGCTTAAGGAGCTGTACTGGGGGGAGGACGGGGGCAAGCAGGCCAAGGCCTGGCCGGGGGCGGGAGCATGGAGCCATCTGGGTCCCAGCGCCGTCAGGGCGAACAAAGCTGGTGGGGCAGTGCCCCCCAGTACCAGTACATGCCCTTCGAACACTGCACCAGCTACGGACTGCCCTCGGAGAACGGGGCCCCCCAGCACAGGCACCGGAAGCACGCGGGCCCCTTTCCCAACTCCCACCCCCACCAGGTAAAGTCCTGAGGGGAGGGGGCGCGGGGGTGCAGGCGCCAGTGGGGTGATGGGCTGGGGGAAATTCGGCATTGAGTGAAAAGAAGGAGCAGTGTTCCTTTTCCTTTTTAACTTAAGTGCATGGCAATGTGTTCAAAACATGGCGACTGTTAGCAGGACTGGGCCGAGCTCAGTACCCACGCGTCTGTCCTTTTATATAACCTTCGCCGGCGGGTCTCCCCAATCCTACGGGGACGGCAGAGCCACGCATGCAGCCGGAGCTCGTGCCTATTACATAAGCCACACGGGTGGTTGGCCGAGGAGCCCACGTCTCCGCGCGTGCGAGCTCCCTCACACCCTCTCCCACACGCAGCACCCTCCACAGGGCGCCACGTTCTTGTCAGCCAGGCCCACGCGCTGCTCCCTGTTCAGACTGGGTGCCTCCCTCCCCTCCCCAGCCCTGCTCTGCAGCGGTGCTTAGCCCTGACCCAGCCCGCATGGATTTGGGGGGATGGAGCACCCCTCCTCCTCACGGGGCCCTGGGACCCCAGGGAGAGAGGCGGCCTGTGGCAGGGCGTGCCCTGAGCGCCGCTGGCAGGTAGTGTCTGCTCGCGGTGTCCCAGGTGGGGCGTGGACGGAAACACTACCTCCCTGGATCACTAACCTCGTTCCAGGAGGTGAAACAGCGCGAGCAGGGCAGTTAGTGTGTGTGTGCCTGTCCACTGCTCAGGCTTCAGCTCGGCTGTGCACGTTGTGAAATCAGATCTCTCCTCCCCGGGCTCTCCCAGGACCAGCGGCAGCAAGGCCCGGCCTGACCCTGGCCCCAGGGGAGGGAGTTGGTGCCGTGCGGGTGGGGCACTGAACGCAGGTAGAGCCCTGGCTCCCTGGCCCCGCCCTCCACACACCTGCTCCACCTGGGGATGGGAGCAGGCAGCTACCAGGTCCGAGAGCCACTCCTCTGCCCTCTTCACATTTGGGGGAGCATCTAATTACCCTGGTCTGGAAAGAGCTGGATTCCCTTGCCTTCTCAGGACTGGTTCCTGTTTGGGCACACACATCCAGGGAGCGAGAGGTGGGCTTTTTCTACGTTTGGCAGAGCATCTGAGGGGGCTCTACTAAGGCCAGGCACACGAAGGCACAGAGCCACCAAGAGCCACCTTGTCAGCATTCCTAGGGGGAGGTTGGGGTGGGCGTGGTCTCGGGATCTTAGAGAGAAAGGCAGAGACACGGAGCAGAGTGGCAAAGAAAACGTCTCATGGACACAGAGGCACAGGTCCTCTATCTCCACTTCAGAGTAGGAACTGGCCTCCTTGATGAAGGCTGCCATGGGCGGAGATGAGTACGGACGGAGAGAGGGTGAGGATGGGCAGACGGAGGTAGAGAGAGGGGAGTGTGCGGACGGGTGGAGAGGGGGCAGTGGAGGGCAGGAAGGGCCACAGAGAGACCCTCCTCAAAGCCCTTGACACCCGGGATTTTAGGAGGCTGTTTGTTTGTTTCTGTGAGTCTGCGTGCTTCCTTCTGTCTATTCCTTTGGACCCTTTCGTAAGGCACATTTCCCACCCTCCCTCTCTCCAGGTCTATGGCCATGACAAGGAGCAGTTCTCGGACAAGGAGCAGGACACGGCGACACCCAAGCGGATGGGCTCCAGTGCTACCATGGACAGCACAGATGAGGACCACTGTTCTAAATGCCAAGGTGATGGACAGAGCGGCAAAGGAATGCGGACCAGGAGGAGGGACAGGGCTCTGGAGAATGACTTGGGGGTCCCATTGCATTTCCCCCACCCTCCCCTCTGCACATGCACCCCAACGCCCTCCTGCCAGGGTTAAGGAGGGGCGTGTCTCCCCAGTTCCTCGTTCCCCACTTTCCCTCCCACCCAGCCCCGAGAGATGAGTTTTGGAAAGGAAGTCAAGGATCCAGCAGGGAACTGGCCTTCGGTGCCCCTTCGGCAGGGGCAGCACCTGGCAGGGGAGGGAAGAGAAACTCGGTGAATGAGACACACAGACAAGATCCTTTGTTACCGAGACATAGACCGAGACCTGCCTTCCAGTCCTCAGTCGTGTACCTGAGCACTGACTGGCTACCCTCTTCCTTACCGCCCTCTCTTCCTAGACTGCCTCTGCCGCCTGGGACGCGTGGTGAGGAGGAAACTGGGGGAAGACTGGATCTTTCTGGTGCTCCTGGGACTGCTTATGGCTCTGGTTAGCTGGAGCATGGATTACGTTAGCGCCAAAACCCTTCAGGGTAGGTTCCACCTGGCCCTGTCCCCTCGGCCTCTCCCCACACGGGGACTGTGTCTACAGATTCTGCCTAGGACGAGCTGGGAGTGTTCTGGGGGCGGGGACATTGCACAGAGGGGATCAGGCCCAGAACAAGACCAGAGTGGACCAGACCCAGCTCCACTGCTCCTGCCCCGTCCACCTGCCACCAGTCAAGCTGTGGCTGCCCCTCTATCACTCACCCCAGTTTTCTCAGGACTTGCCTGGTTTGGGCACCGAACATCCTGGGACGCAGCAGCACCTCAGTTCCGGGCAAACTGGGGCGGCTGGTCACCGGTGTGGCCCCTAAAATCGTGGCCAGAGCCCCAGCCCAACTGTGGTTTGTGGCAGGGCCCCCACCTCCTCCGCATGCGGGGAACTGGAATGGGTCAGAGCATCCCCAGTAACTCAGGTTTCCCACACACGTGTCCCGGGAGAATAGTACCATCTCTCGAGATGCAGTGAGAGCGTCCCGGTGAGGGCATGCTCCTGTGTGTGTGTGTGGGGGGGGGTGCGGTGGGGTAGAAGGGGGCGGAACTGGGGGGTGGCGGCGACCTGTCACCCACGCTGCCCTGAGCCAGGCGCGTGTCTCCGCAGCCTACAAGTGGACCTACCACCGGGTGCAGCCCAGCCTGCCGCTGCAGTACCTGGTCTGGGTCGCCTTCCCACTGATTCTCATCCTGTTCAGCGCCCTCTTTTGCCACCTCATCTCGCCCCAGGCTGTCGGTGAGAACTGAGCCGGGGAGCCTCCCCAGTCCCGTCATCAGCACCATCTCACCGCCCTGTGGACCCCTCACCCCACCTCCTCCCTCCCCCGGCCCTACCCTGACCGCTGCTCCGTCTCCGCCCTCCCCACCAGAGCCCCCTGCCTGCCCCCCAACCCCACATCCACTGTCTGGGCGGTCGTCTCCCTTTTCACCTCCAGCCTGAACCTGCACACAATCACCTTGTAACCCCGTTAGGCTCTGGGATCCCCGAAATGAAGACGATCCTTCGTGGGGTCATCCTGAAGGAGTACCTCACCCTCAAGGCCTTCATGGCGAAGGTTGTGGCACTGACGGCAGGGCTGGGCAGTGGCATTCCCGTGGGGAAGGAGGTAGGTGGCCGTGCCCAGGTGGGAGCTGGGCCCAGGGTGGCCCTGGGAGCAGACGTGGGCCCAGGCACAGGGTCCAAAGCCAGGGCCAAGGGCACACGGGAGACCAGGGAGGGGAAGCGCCTGGGAGGCCCTCGTCCCGGGCGGAGCAGCAGGGCCGTGGAGCAGCCTCCCGACCCGGCACCGCTGACGTTTTGGGTGACATTGGCTCGGGTGTGCGGGCCTGCGCACCACAGGCTGTTTGGCAGCATCCCTGGCCCATCCCTCGTCCATGCCAGTAGCAGCCCCCAGGTGTGGCAGCCAGAGTGTCTCCAGACATTGCCAGATGTCCCCTGGGGTGGAGGTGGGACCTGCTCCAATTGAAGAGAACTGCTTTAGAGACACTCCAGACGGATGCTGTTGTGTGTGTGTGTGTGTTTTTTTTTAAGATTTTCTTTATTTAATTTTTAGAGAGAGGGGAAAGAGAGGGAGAGAAATAACAATATGTGAGAGAAAATTGACTGGTTGCTTTTCACAGTCCTCCAACCGGGGACCCGGCCTGCAACCCAGACATGTGCCCTGACTGGGAATTGAACCAGTGACCTTTCAGTGCACAGGCCAGTGCCCAACCCACTGAGCACACCAGCCAGGGCCCAGGCCCTTGTTTTAACATGTGACAGACAACTGAGACCTAGAAAGAGGCTCATGTGCACTCCCATCCATTTCCCACTGGCGGGGGTCCGCGTAGCAGCCAGGGTCTTCTTTTCAGAGTGGAGTCAGCAACATCTGACCTCTGTGCGGCTTTCCCTGACGGCTTTCCACCCCTAAAGTAAAATCCAGAGCTCTCTCTGGGGCTCAGAGGCCCGTGGGCACCCGCCCCCTCTGTCCCTCTTCTGTCCTCCCAGGCCGCTCCTCGCTCACTGTACTGGGGTATCAAGGCCTTCTTCCTGTCCCTCCACCGCGCACGCTTGCTCCCCTCTCAGGGCTCCTGCACTTGCTGTGCTCTCGGCGAGAACCGTCTTCCTCCTGATTCCCACGTGGCTCACGCCTTTGTTTCAACACGACACGACTCACTTGTGACCTCCGGGCACCTTCTCTGAACACTGCCCCGTCCCGCCTCCTCTGTTCTGTCTGTCTCTGTCCTTCGGCCCTCCCTCAATGTCTTCCCAGCCCTTGGAATTTTCTGGAATAGTAGAATGCCCAGCTAGCACCTCCCTTTCTCTCTGGGGTGAAGTCCTGTGAGGGCAGAACGCCTGTATTTCTCACTTCTGTGTTGCCAGCACCCAGTGCGGTGCCAGGGGCAGCGCGTGTTAGCACAGCGAGTGCCCCAGGCTTCCCATCCGGACCCCGCTGCTGACCCCGCCCCTCCGCCTCTCTCCCAGGGCCCCTTTGTCCACATTGCCAGCATCTGCGCGGCCGTCCTCAGCCAGTTCATGTCTGTGCTTTCTGGGGTCCACGAGGTAAGGCTGGGGAAGTAAAATGAGGTGGGGCTGTGCGTGTTCAGGGTGTCGGGAGGGCTGCCTCGGCTCTGGGCTGGCCACGCCGCTGAAGCGGAGCATGGCGCCTGCCCGTGCTCCCCTGGTCTCCACCCCGTCCCCCGCCTGCCTTCGCCACCTGACGCCTCTGTGCAGCCCTCGTCTGTCCAGCAACGTCCCCTCCTTCCTGCTCTGCACCCCCGCGTCGGAGCCTGCACGCGGCCCGCGGCTCCGCTAGCCCGCCAGTCCACGCTGCCCCCACGTCAGTTCCTGTCCGCGAGCCCCTCCTGTGCTGCCCCGTCCCTTTCTCGCTCCCAGTCCCTCACCCTGTGTCTCTGACCACGGCCCCTGCGCCCCGGCCCTCCGCCCTCCTGGTCCTGCGCGCTTCTCTGTTGCAGACCGTGCCTGGGCAGCTTGACCTCCTGGCGTCGGCCTGCGCAGTGGGCGTGGGATGCTGCCGGGCAGCGCCTGTTCGGAGGCAAGTCCCACTTCCGCCCACCCGTTCCCGGAGCATGGCATGGAAGGGGGTCTGGGTGGCCGCCACAGCTTTGGGGTGGCAAGGGTCGCTCGTTGAAGGGACTGGCGGGTGGGCCTTCAGCCCATGGGCTCCAGGCACCCACACCTTTCCAGCAGAGGGCCGTATGTTCTTTTGAGGCTGGTGGCTCTTTCATGCAGGCTTTATTGATAGTGCGGTTTGTCTGAAGTCCCTTCCTGGCTCTCTTGCTGTTGACACTCCTCTCCCTGATTGTCCCCACCTCCAGCCTCACTCTGGTGATCATTTCTTGGCTTACCTGCCCACCATTTATTTCCCTCACTTTTATTTCATTTTCTGTGTTTGGCCTTGCGCTATGAGGTCACTTCCTGTCTTGGCCTGGGAATTGCAGGGGGCGAGGGGACCACCACGATGCCCTGTGACTTAAGCCTCTCCTTCTGCCTCATCCCCCACCCTTGCTTGTTCTCCTCTCCTCTCCTCTCCGTGCCCCCCTTCCTTCCTCTCCCCTCCCTTCTCTCTCCCCTAGTAGCAGCCGTACTATTACACCGACATGCTGACGGTGGGCTGCGCTGTGGGAGTCGGCTGTTGCTTTGGGACCCCCCTTGGAGGCAAGTGATTTACCCCTCCTACCTGTCTGCTCACCCGCCTCGCTCCCCAAACTATGGTCAGCACCCCCAAGTGCAAGTATTACCAGGTGAAGCCCCGGCGTAAGGAGAATAGCTAAGGTTCAGCGAGCGCTTAGTATGTGCAGGCAACGTTCTGAGCACTTTGCCTGCCTTCCTGCCAAGAGGCGCGTGAGGCTGAGGTGGCAGAGGAGCGGGGAGAGAACAGTGCCCTCCTTGTCCTGGACGACCCACCAGGAGGCACGGCCAGGGAACGGGTGGCATGTGTTTCTTTACTCATCATTATCTGTTGTAACCAGACTAACAGCAGAGATTCTATCGACCGGGCGTTGGGTTCGTTGGTGACAGAAAGGACACCCTGTTGACAAATAGACAAAATTCCAGGAAGAGCATATGTTTCTGAAAGGCACCAGTTGTCCGAGGTGTCTTTTCGACTACGAAAATGTGATCAGTGCTTTTGTAGAGGAGGCTTCTGGTGGCTGAGATGGCTTGGTCCTGGGAATGACGAGGGGAAGCACTCAGAGTTCATGACAGTGAGCCACGTCCCCTCGTCCTGACACGGTGCCAGTGTGCGTCCCGTTGAGGAGATGAGGTCAGCAGACGCCTCAGTGGGCACCCTGCTTGTCCCTCTCTTGTCGGCTCTTGGCATTGGAATCATTGGTGCCGCTGCAGAAGGGTAGTAGGTTGGAACTTTTACAAATGTTAAATTTCACAATGTCTATAGCTACTTTTACCTTTATTCACTCTTTCACCTTAGAAATCCAGAATATCTAAAGGACCTTTTTAGACAGGTGAAAAAAAAATTTGGTTTTGTTTGTAGTTAGATTCTTTAACAGTGAAGAGAATCAGAATTTTCTGCCTAAGACTGGAATTTCTGGGATGAATGAGGAAGGTTTTTCTTGGTCCCGTGTATGTAAAGTACAGGAAAGACCACACACAGGAAAAATACAGATAAAACACGGCTGTAAAACCTGCAAAAACAAACAAACAAAATGTGACTCTTGATGTGAGAAAATGTTAAGCATTGGAAAGTTAATTAAGAGGCCATTTCCAGAATGTTTGCATTAAGTGGCAGATATTAAATGGACGTGCAGATAACATTACTTGACTGGTATCATTTCATGAACATGGTTTACAAAAGAAAAAATCAGTCTTAAAATCATTTATTCACTATCTAGTCAACCCTTAATTCCTTACACAGTTGAAAGAAATAGACTTCAACGTTCCACCAAAATGCCAAACGCCTTTTTGCTTCTGTTGCCTGCGCTCAGTGCTGCCCACGGGGCACCGTGCTGGGTGGGTCCCGTGCTCCCCCGGGGGGCTCACCTTGAAAGACAAGCAGGCAAGCAGTCCTCCACTCACGGAAGTGTCTTCACGGCAGCCGGGTCAAGTGCAGTGGGAGCTTTCTGCTAGGCTGCCTGGGTGCAGGGAGTGAGGGGGTAAGGGACTGGCACTGGACCTTTACTAAAGAGATGGTGTTTTCCCCGGCCAGCTGGCTTGGTTAGAGCACCGTCCCCATAGGCCAAGGTTGCAGGTTCGATCCCTGGTCAAGGCACATGCATAAATAGGTGGTACAAAGAAGCAAGTTTTCTGCCTCTCTCTCCCTTCCCTTCCCCCTCTCCCCATGCCCCACTTCGAATCAATAAAGAAAAAGAGAAATAAAGAGATAGTGTTCGATCTGACACTCAAGGAAGACTGTGAAGGTGGGGTATTCTGGACAGAAGAGACAGCATTGCAAGGTCAAGATTTGGGGGCTATGCCTTGGCCAGGTGGCTCAGTTGGCTGGAACATCATCCCATACGCCAAAAGGTAGTGGGTTCGATTCCAGTCCAGGGCACATACCCGGGTTGTGGGTTGATCCCTGGACAGGGTGCAACAGGAGGCAACTGATCGATGTTTCTCTCTCACATCAATATTTCTCTCTCTCTTTCTCATCATTTACAAAAACGTATCCTCCAGTGAGGATTAAAAAAAAAGACCCGGAGGCTATAATTATAGTTGGTGAGTATTGCTGAAAGATGCAGAGGGAAGAGTAACAGGAAATGAGTCTAGACAGGTAAATGGGACGAGCTCAGGAAGGTTCTCGTAGACTCGCACAAGAAAGTAGATTTCATTTATTCTCTAGGCTGCGTGCCCAAATGTGTTTTTAAATTTACTTCTTTAACTTCTTATTTTTCACAGTTGAAATTCAATATTATATTCATTTCAGGTGTACAGCATAGTGGCTAGACATTTATATAACTTACAAAGTGATTCCCCTCCCAATAAGTCTAGTATCCGCCCGACACCATACATAGTTATTACAATTATTTTTAACTCCATTCCCTATGCTGTAATTTACATCCTCATGACTATTCTGTAACTGCCGATTTGTACTTTTTAGCCCCTTCCCCTTTTTACCCAGTCCCCCACTGCCCACTGCTTCCTGGCAACCCCACAGAATCCCTTTTGCAAGGACCTTCTCAAGAGACTCATAGCATCTCCTGGACTTGACTTTGGAAAATGCTGTCAGAGTGCAGGGGAGTCATGGGAGAATTTTGAACAAGGAAGTGACTTGGCCAGCTTTGTACGGTGATCCAGTCCGTTTGACATGTCTGTGCAGGATAGAACTGGCCTGCGGATTAACAGGTTTAACCCAAGATTAAGGAGAAGACTACTCTCATTGTCCTGACGCTAGATGACAAGGGACTGGACTGGGCAGAGGCAGAAGAGCCAGAGAAGAGGATGGCATATATGGGCGATAAAAAGTAAAATCTGTGCGACCTGGTGATGGGTCAGTGTGAGGGTGTGAAGGATAAGAGAGGAGGAGGAACCTTGGCTAACTCTCAAGTTCCTAACAAGGAAACCAGCGGCCAGTGGTAATAACCAGAATAGGGAATCTAGGAAGTAAAACAGGTTTGGGGAGTTGATAGGTTTCACTTTGCATGTGTGGAATTTGAAGTTCCTGTGGCATATCCAAGGGATATCAAATAGGCAGCCGGGCTGGTCAATCTCAAGTTCAGGAACTGAGCTGAACACATAGCCTTGTTAATTAAGTAGCCTGTAGGTGGTAGTTGAATCTATGGGCAGAAATGAACTTGAGAGAAAGAGTGTATCTGTGAGTAGCAAGAACAGGAAACCCAGAACAAGGCTCCGGGGTGGACGGAGGCAAAAGAGGCAGAGGACAAGCAAGAAGAGCCCCCAGGGTGGGAGAAGAGCGAGACCTTGCAGAGCTGACACGGTCAGAGCGTTTGTGTTGTTGCTGCCGTGTCTCCTCGGCAGCACATTTTCTGTCTGGCTCTGGCTAATATTAAAATTAGTTTTCATTCCTGAGGTTTCAGTGACAGACTGTGAGGGGAAGTGTCCCGGAGCCACATCCTGGGAAAGGGAATCTGGCCTAGGGTTTCAAAAAAATGGTTGTAAAGTGCTCGTAAGTTGGATGGTTTGTACCCAGATAAAACAAAGCCGACTTGGGTTCTGTTACTGGTAAAAGACAGAGACTCTCCCCCCTTGAGTCTCTACCGTGTCGAATCCTCCTCTGAGAGCGAGAAGGCACTGCCTTTACCTGGTGTGATTCGAAAAGCAGGGGCCGAAGGTGGTTGGCAGAGCTTCGTCTGCCCCAGATTCCTCATTCCCTCATTCCGTTTTCTGAAATTCCACCTGTTCTCCTCTGTTCTCTTCCTTCCTTCTCTCCTCCCCCTCCCTCCCCTCCTCGCCTCTCTTTTTCTGTTCCTCCATAGAACAGGCGTTGAGCCCTGATTATGTACCAGGCACTGTACTGAGTGCTTGGGTCCAGGGTCCTTTTCATCCTTAGGGGAAACTCAGAGCTATAAACTAATAACTCCATCTGAACGTGGTGAGTGCTCTGCTAGTTCAAAACTCCAAGAGAACAAGGTGAGGGAGGGACTATTTCTACCCGAGGACAGGGATTGGGGATGGCTTCCCAAACAAGGTGACGCCTAGGAGTCCTCTGCCAAAATGCTATGGCCACTCCGTGAGGGAGTAACCGTCAGGCCACCTTCCTCTTGTTGCAAGTGACTAGTTTAACTATGGACCGTCACCTGTGGAAGAGAGGGGCAGGGTTCCTGAGGGACTCAGGAGATGGGACTCGGAATGTAGAACAGGCAGAAGAAAGGGGCTAGGATGTGAGATGGCACCTGCAGAGGGAAGCAGGTTGAGGGGGCTGGGTTACAGGGCAGCAGTCGGTCACCGTGGAGAGCAAGGAGGGGACGAGCCTTACCTAGTTCCTGGTCTTTCTTGGCGTCAGGCCTCTTCTGCTTCCATCGAACTATGGGCTGTATTTCCCTGGTTTCCTTTCCTTGTTTTTGATCAAGGTGAGCCGCACCTAGGTTTTGGGTGATTTTCTCGTTGAATTTTTATTTCGCATCTAACATGTTTGTAGATGATTTTCTTCCCAACTCCTGAATCTTGCTTTCTGTGCCCTTGTTTGTGTTTCTAACTTTATCCCCACCAACCCTTGCTGTTTGTCTGTACTTCCGCCTCCTAACTTTCTGTGCCAGCATCTACTCCCACAAACAGCACTACTTAGGACTGTTAATTAGCTTTCCCTCTACCTCACCCACCCTTTGCAAGCACAATTATTTTTAACTTCTAGCTTCTTAGTTTTTCCCCTTGTTTTGGTCCTTCGAAGTCAAGTTATTAATTTTTTTAAAATGTGGAGGAATGCTCTACTTTCTTTTCTGGGACTATTGAGTACTGTCAGCTTTTAGGAAGAACTTTCCTGTTCATTTTTCTTATTTCTTCCTTAGAAAGTTGCCCTGGCCACACGGTACATGGGAGGAAGGAGAAGGGGTTGGGGGCGTTGTTCAGGAGCGCCCCTGTAATCTCGAGTTCAGCTCCCCAGCTCTGACGAGCACCTGCTCTGGGTGATTTCTCTCTCATAACTCGTATGCAGAAAATTGGCAGTGACCCTTCAATCCCTGTGCAGAACCGACATTGTGGATCTCACCCAGCCCTACTGTGGATGGGATGGAAAGAGCATGAGCACCGATCCTCACATTCTGTGGGCCGAGGGCTGCCCATTTCCCCATTTCTCCATCCTCTGTATCTTGTCGAACCACATCCCTGGCCCACAAAACGCTGCCACCGTGATGAGGGACGTGGTTCAGAGCATGGGTTTGAAGAGGTCCCCAGGGCTGGGGTGTGGGAGAGAGGCTGTCTCCGTGCTCCTCACCCGACCCTACGTTTCTGCCTCAGCAGGAGTGCTCTTCAGCATCGAGGTCACGTCCACGTACTTTGCTGTGCACAACTACTGGCGAGGCTTCTTTGCAGCCACGTTCAGCGCCTTTGTTTTCCGCGTTCTGGCCGTGTGGAACAAGGATGCCGGTAACAGGGAGCCCTAGGGAGGAGGCCCAGGAGCAGGGAGGCAGACCGTGGGGCGTGGAGGGAGGCTCTGCGGTGCAGTGCGGGGAAGGACCAGACGGCTTGATTTGGGAAGCAGGCGGGGCAAGGATACAGGATGGGGAGATGGGCCGTGGAGCAGGGGGGCACGTGTCGTGCGTGCAAAGAAGACGTGAAACAGAAGAGGAGACGCTGGGCTTGGTGGAAGAAAGGAGTGGATTCTTAAGGCTGATCGCCTCGGGTTCCCTCTCTGGGGGTGTCCGTGACGCTCCCGCCTTGATGCGTGGCCTTTCCCTCCTGTAGACACCATCACCGCTCTCTTCAGAACCAATTTCCGGATGGATTTCCCCTTTGACCTGCAGGAACTCCCAGCCTTTGCTGTCATCGGGTCAGTGAGGTCACCTGCCCTGGGCGTGCGAGGGGGGTGGGTGTGGCCTGGGGTGGAAGGGACCCAAGCTGGGAAGAAGGCGAGGCCCACATGGATGAATTGTAAATTGTTGGGGGGAGGTAGGTCCGCAGGGAAGGCAGATCCCTGGTGTCTATTTCTCCCATGGCCAGGTCGGAGGGACGGGGGTTCCATTCCTGTGTAACTTGCACCCTCAGGATTTGCTGTGGGTTCCTGGGAGCTGTGTTTGTGTATCTGCACCGTCAAGTCATGCTGGGTGTCCGAAAGAACAAGGCCCTCAGCCGGTTTCTTGCTAAGCAGTGAGTCACGGCCCTTCCTTATCCCTTCCCACTTACTTTCTGGTTTCTCAGCCAGTTCCCTTTTTTTAATCTTTACAAAAAGCATTGAATGCCTTTCAGTGGCTTATGACACAACACAGAAGCCCAGATGCTGTACATAGGGGGCGAGTGGTGTGGTTTCTTTCACTCGTGAAGACAGCACTTTGGGGGAGAGAATACTCTGGGTTTAAAGAACTGAAACTACTGTGGGCCACAGGAAACTTCAGCTTGCCAGGGTTTGGTGTGGTGTCCACTGTGCGGGGGTTAAATTCAGGGGGTCATTCACTGCATCTCTTTTTCAGCCGCCTGCTGTATCCCGGAATCGTCACCTTTGTCATCGCCTCGTTCACCTTTCCACCAGGAGTGGGTCAATTCATGGCTGGAGAGGTCAGCCTCCAGGGAGCCTGAGGGTGGGGTCAGGTCACAAAGCACATTAACCTCAGGGACTAAGCCAGGATTGGGCCACGTGGAGAATGGGAAGCAGCACAGATGTCCCTGGGGCTTCCGAGCCATGTGACCTTTTGGCCGGGAATAGAATCTATCCCTGAGAAAAGAGCCGAAGGGACCCCTGGAAAGTGAGACTGGGAATCAGTTCTCTACACAGAGGAAGCACTGAGCGTCCTGGGAGAACCACCGTTTTTCGCTCCCTCATCTCACAGTTGATGCCTCGCGAAGCCATCAGCACCCTGTTTGACAACAACACGTGGGTAAAACACATAGGTGACCCCGAAAGCCTGGGCCGGGCGGCTGTGTGGATCCACCCACAGGTCCACGTCGTCATCATCGTTCTCCTCTTCTTCATCATGAAGGTACCTCTCCCTCCACTCTCAAAGCTTCTGTTCGTTTTCCGCCTAGGAACCCAGGGTTTGCACCAGGTGAGAGAGGGTGAAACTCCATCTGTTGTTCATCCAACCCAAAGTGAAATAGCTGGGAAACCATAGCACAGATGCTCGTGTATGAGAGTGAATCAATATCTAGGATAATCACCCCATTCATGTCACTTTAGTGATGTTGTTGCCATAATTCTTGTAACGTTCCCAAAGGTTCCTCTTGCTAAATTACTAAGACACCACAACAGCCAAATAAACAAGAACAAGATGGAGTTCGGCAGACTAGATAGCTTTGTAGAAACCTCAGGTAAATTAACCGAATCCCCCCACATTTTAGATAATTAGGTACTCTGTTCTCCGTGTATCCATCTTTAGCTGATTTGCACGTCCATGTCCCACCGGTCTAGCATGTAATCTCATTTCTGGAATTGCAAAGGAGATAAAATACTCAAATCAGTTTTATTAGTGACTATAAACAATTTTTATAAATGTTATTACTCTGTTAGCTAGTGAGGGTTCACTTTCTTCTGAATCCATTTAGGAAACAAAAGCTGATTTCTGTTCATATCAGTTTATTTTCATTCCTGCCTGTCAAGGATCATGTAGAGGTTTCTCAATTACTGCCTTACACAAAGATATTTTTATTTCCAGCCCTCGTTCTGACATCTCTTACTATTGCCAATTGCATATTCTTCTTTCTTGATGATTGTCTTATTATTTCTAGTATGTCTTGCCCAAATAACCCAACATTTTCCTCTGAATATTAGGGCTGTTATTCAAAAGTCTGTCCACTCTGAACTTTGATGCTTTTGAATACCGTGCTATTAACTTTTTCATGATATTTTTTGTGAATGTGTTTCCCCAGGATATGAGTCACTTAGTAATATATATGTGTGTGTGCGTGTGTCTGTGTGCATGCACATATATACACTCATATATATTACTATATATTATACACATGTATATGACTGTGTATAGAGTAATAGCTGCAGTGGGTTTATTTACCCATTCAGTCAATAAATGTTATTATATACTTTCTGTGTGCCAAGTATATATATAATAATTGATTGCTGATCTTTGGCAAATCTTATGTTTATGGTCAAAACAATTATTTTTATTGCCTTCTTTGCTTGCTGCTGCTGCTCATTTGATGTACTTGTCAATGATCTTATGATTAGAGGAACCAGGGACCTGACACACCAGGTTCCAACCCAGTAACTCACATTCCTAGGATTCACTGTGGGTTCCTCTGTTCTCCCCTAGTTCACTCCAGGGGGACTGATTGGGTCTACCAGCTTCCACATTTTGCATATCTACCTTATTAATTTGTTTTGTTTTTTCTTTCCAAAGAGTTGGTATTTTTATCATAAAGCAGTTCTCAGTATCTTATAAGGGATTTTTTTGGGGGGGGACTTTCATTATAGACTTCATATTCTCTAATTTATAAATCTCAACTTCCTCTAATTGTCGAGTATACCAAGTCCAAGTTTTGATGGGATCTCAGAATTTATTGCTCAATGATAATAATTGTGATTTTCTAGTATTCCTCTAGGTTGAGCTATATGGTAACTTTGGGGACACCTATACTTTTAAAGTGTCAAGCTTTTGAACATTTTTAGAAAAACAAAATACTGTATATTTTCAACTCTTTCCCCGTATCTCATCTCACCTCCCAGGATTCCTGAGTATGTATCTGGATACTACTTCATGGATTAAAGCTTATCCTGGGAAATGTACTAGATTATAAAGAAAGACTCAACTGTATGTCACTATTATTCATTTCTCACTGAATTACATCTTTGAAAATGTTTGTATCATAAGTGTATCAGGAAGAGAAATTCACTCATTTCTTGGACTCGATTTCAAGCCCAACAGTTTGCATCAGGCCTATGATTTTTTAAGATAATATTTATAAACACAAAACCATTCATGGCTATAAATCCGTGATCTTACTTAATTACAATGGCATTTTTCAATGCCCTGTCATTGGACACATAAACATACCTTTATTATTTCCAGGGTATGAGCCATTGGCTGCATAGCCAAATCAAAATATAAAAATGGCTGGAACTGTTTTTCCACAGTCTGATTTCAAATTTATGTGGTCTCTGCCAGCACCAGTGCAGGCTGGTGAGATTCTCAGTTCAGAACTTTTATTATGTTGATACAGGGAGCATCTGTCTTCCTCAATCTTAGAACAGGGAAAGTATCATTATGTTGTAAGCCAGGAGCTTTTACAATGAGTGTGAATATAATTACAACTCTGGTTCCCCTTTCAATAAGTCTAATGGGATTGCTGAGGGTCTCGGGGAAGTTCTCAGCATGGCCCAAGGCTTTGCCGAATTCTTCTTTGCCTGAGCTCCACATGGCTGCTTCTTGTGAAGGGTCTAAATACAGTGGAATCTGTGATCACGGCGCCCTAATTTCCCAGGTGTCTGGAATTTAAAATCTTGCGGTTTTTCTGTGTTCCACATCACTTACATTGCTTCTGGAGCTTTCCTTTCATCTTCTACTAGCTCTAATTCTTGGCTCATCTTGCCTGTCATTCTTCATGCTGTAGGACTTGGTACTTCAGTGTCCTCTGATCCTGACACTGTCCTGACGCACCTGTTGGAGGCGAATCTCAAGTTCATCCCCTGGAATCACACCTACTGGCGACCCGTTATCTGTATGACAGAAACTTCCAGATTGACCTGAGCCTACAAATCTCTATGGCTTTGCAAAATCCCTTGTGTACTCATTCCAAAGATGTGATACAGAATAGTTCAAGGGGGTCTCAGAGTCACTTAAGAAGCTTAAACTACAAGGGCCTAGAGCTCTGTCTGCAGGCAGTCTGCCATGGTGGCTCCCAGGGGTGCCTGCACGCCTGTGGTTTAACGTCAAGTTCCCCTTGAGCCTGAGGTTACTGTTGGGTGTTTTAACAAATAAGAGTTCTGAGAAGTTTTCTTGTGTTTTAAGTGAATAGTATTTGACCGAGCTCTCGTCCTTCTTTCCTTCCTGCTGACCTACCGACATCCTGCCCACACTTACTGAGCACTGTACCAGTACAGACTGAAAGCAGAGATAACAAGATGCACTCAAGGACTTCTCAGTGTCTATATTCTCTTCATTTGTACATTTAATGATTCAGTTTTCACCTGTTTTAAATAGCCAGATTCTGGCATGAAGATGTATTTTGCCTTATCTCAGAGTTTCTGGGATGAACCTTCTCAGATCCCTTGTAACTTTCTCTTCAGGTCAGCCCTGGCTCAAGAGAATTCTTTCTAAGGTTCAGGAAATCAAGAGTTTATTTCTCATTAGTTTACAATGCAATAGGTACCATTTTTTATTATAAAAACATTGATCCTGGCAATTTGTTCTAATCTTCAGCTGCTACTATCATTCATCAAGTCAGCTTGAAATCCTTTTTCCAAGATCGGCTTACTTATTTTGGAAGAGATATGTAAATCTATTGTTTAATTTACCCACTATGTCTCATCGAAGTTCAAGCCCTACTTCATATTTCACTGTATATCTAAATTCTTTTGCATTCTTTGCCTCAAAATGCATGTATTGCTTTTTCTAAAATTATCCCAGTTTCTATGTCAATACTACCTGAAAAAGTTGGCCTTGAAGATTTTTTTTTGTTACACTGGCTGACTCACCTGGCTTTCTCCAGGTGCCCAGCCTAGCACAGATCCTTTGTTTAAAATGATTTGCCGTCACAGGAAATGGCTCAGGCAGGGACGCTCTCACCAGTTTCCCTTGTGAGGTTCACCATAAAAATGGCTTTGTAAGTAACTGCATTAAAAATCAATTAGTCACGCAGTAAGTCACTAAGACTTTAAGGTGTCTGCCATTTCCATCTGGGGATCTTTTGCAGAAACATAATCTGACCAAGAAAAGAGATCTTTCAGCTTCAAGAGTTTCATGCTCTTCCACGGAGGTGACCCTTCGAAGCGAAGAGGCTGCAGGGGGCTAGGGTCCTTCGGGGACAGTGACAGGGGATCTCTGAGGCCCCACTCCATGTTCTAGATTGCCTACAGGCAGAGTCGCTCCAGGCAGGAGCGACTTATAGTGTTGTCTTATAGTGTTGTCTTTGGTGATCTCTCAGCCTGAGAACTCCATGCTTTTTAGTTCTGGATAAAGGGGAGCAGGCATGATGCTTTCAGAAGGATGAGCCATCTCAGTGTTTCTGCGACTCTTGAAGCAGGGAGGAAGAGGACAGCGGGAAGGGGGTTGAGTGTGCACGTGTGTGTGTGTGTGTGTGTGTGTGTGTGTGTGTGTGTGTGCTGGGCAGAGCTGAGAGGGTGTCCTGATGCCTCTTTTTACCCCAGTTCTGGATGTCCATCGTGGCCACCACTATGCCCATACCCTGCGGAGGCTTCATGCCTGTGTTTGTGCTTGGTAAGTCCTGATGGGGCACCTGGGACCATACTGAGAGCTGCAGTCTAGGGTACTGGGAAAATAAGGAGAGGCCTGCAATGCTAGGGGCTTGTATTTGGTCTTAGCACCCAAGGAGGGTTTGGCTCTGAAAACGCAGAGGATAAGGAACTTGGTCCTCTCAGCACCTTCCTTCCTGTTGTCTTTGCTTAGGAGCTGCATTTGGAAGGCTGGTGGGAGAGATCATGGCCATGATATTTCCCGATGGTATCTTATTTGATGGCATCCTCTACAAGATCCTACCTGGGGGCTACGCAGTAATTGGTGAGACCCATTCCACCCTCCTGAAACCAAGTATTGAATCCCGCAGATGTCTACACTCCAACTCTCCCACGACATCTTCACTCCACACTACGGCTTTAATTTAATGCTATTTAATTCAACTCCTACTCGAATAATCAACCCTTGCTTCTGACTCTCAATACCATTTATCGAATGTCTACGAGACTTAGTTTCTTCATGTATAAAAGGGATTATGGCTATTAAATGAGATAGGGACACCTGGCTGGTGTAGCTCAGTGGATTGAGCATGGGCCAGTGAGCCAAAGTGTTGCTGGTTCGATTCCCAGCCAGGATACATGCCTGGGTTGCAGGCAGGTCCCCAAATGGGGGCGCGCAAGGGGCAACCACACATTGATGTTTCTCTCCCTCTCTTTTTCCTTCCCTTCCCCTCTCTCTGAAAAATAAATAAATAAATAAATAATTTTTTTAAAAGAAGAGAGAGAGAGGGACAAAAGCATGTAGGATTGTGGCTGAATGTTTGGTAAGGTTTTTTTTCCCCCTTCCAAAGAATCATGGGAACCACGATGCAGGTGACTGGCTCAGCTACTCTCACCCTGTAGATGTGTCAATACTGATGGGACTTAAAAGCACAGGACTAAGCTGAGAAGCCTGTGCTCTGGACCCATCCCGGCCACTTGTCACCTAGATGAGCATGGGAAAGTTAGCTGCCTTTCTGGCCCTTAGTGATTTCTGAGATAGCTTACAGCTCCAACATTCTGTGAATCTCGGATTTATGTCATTGTATCTATTATCCCATCCAACGAAACCCATGTTGAACCCAGTGATCAGTGTAAATCCCCAGAATTATTGTGCCTTCTCCCTCCTTTCTCTCTTCACTGAGATCCTAGAACATCTAGATGGAGGAGCACTAACCAGCTTTATTACTCACATGATGACCTTGCTGTCTCATAAAGGGTTGGCTCAAAACCTGTGGCCCCAAGTAGAATGCCATAAGTAGGTTTTCAAATGCTCAGTTAAGAGTGATACCGATTTTCTGCCCTAGCTGATGTGGCTCGATGGTTTAAGCACCAGCCTGTGAGGTGAACGATTGCTGGTTCAATTCCTCGTCAGGGCAGATGCCTGGGTTGTGGACCAGGCCCTGAGGTGGCGCGTGAGAGGCAACCAATCAATATATTTCCCCCGCATCGATGTTTCTCTCCCTCTCTTTCTCCTTTCCTCCCCCTCTCTAAAAATAAATAAAGAAAATCTTTTTTAAAAAAGAACAATACAAATTTTCAAAAACCAGGAATAGATAGGACACCATCTTCATCGTACAAATGAAAATGCGGGCACACACAAGGATTTCGTGTCTTGTCAAAGGCCACGGGCTGAGATCAGAATGATGATTTTGCAACAGTTCATCATTCTAGTCCCTTCTCTGGACACACGGTCGTCTCGGGAGTGTTGGCACTGACCCAGACTGTCACCGTCCTCACACCCCCCTGTGCCCCTTGTGCCCCGTGCGCCAGGAACCGCAGTGCTCATCCAGCGCATCCCTGTGTCTCGTTCCAGGAGCAGCAGCGCTGACGGGGGCGGTGTCCCACACAGTGTCCACGGCTGTCATCTGCTTTGAATTAACGGGTCAGATCGCCCACATCCTGCCCATGATGGTGGCTGTGATCTTGGCCAACATGGTGGCTCAGAGCCTGCAGCCCTCCCTCTATGACAGCATCATCCAGGTCAAGAAGCTACCCTACTTGCCTGACCTTGGTTGGAACCAGCTCAGGTCAGGGGCACCAGCTGGAATTAGTTCAGCTCTGATGGGGTGGGGATGGGAGAGTCTGAGGCTGAGACTGACGTTAGGGCCAGTGTTTGCAAGCACCGCTTTCGACTGACTTGCATTCCCGTGTACCTGATAACTGTTGTGAGTGACCCAATGGCAAACCTCATGGGAGGAACGGGAGGGCCAGCAAATGGACAGGCACGTGGTGGGGCTAACTGCCCCCCCTGCCATGCTTTCTCCCTCCATAGCAAATTTACAATCTTTGTTGAAGACATTATGGTACGTGATGTGAAGTTTGTTTCCGCCTCTTGCACATACGGGGAGTTGCAAACCCTGCTGCAGACCAGCACAGCCAAGACTTTACCACTGGTTGATTCAAAAGGTCAGTGGGAAGAAAGGGAGCCAACTGCTAAATTAGTGACCGGAACTTAGCCTCCACAAGGAGGGGGAGGCACTGTGGTGCGGCCTTGTCCGTAGGGACCACCCAGTCTGCTGCAGGAGACCCAGCATGTGCTCCGTAGGGAACAGGACTGTCCTGAGGAAGGTAAAATGCAGCTGTAACACAAGCACTGCAAGACAATTAAAAACCAAGGAAAGAAATACCGTCAGTTCTCATTACTCACGGTGGTTATGTTCTATAACTACTGTGAACAGAGTTAAGGATACTACCCTGAATTGTTGCTCCCAGAGGACATACAGGATTAGGTTCCTACAAGCCCCTGGTCACAACAGCTTGTTCCAATCAATGCATTGACTTGTGTTGTGTGTGTTTCTCTTTAAAGGTACCTCATTGAGTATATATTGTTGATTCATTAACACTGAACTTACAGCCAGCAGCAAGCTCTATAGCTCACGCCTAGACAAAGCTAATCTATCTCACTTATCTTCTCCATAAGGCACATCACAGGCTTTATGATTGGGGCAGTGTGAAACAGCAAAATAAGCAACACAAATCACAAAAATGTGAAAAACGTGGCAGTAAAGGAACCACACGAAGAGCACTTGTCAGCTGGAGGGAAGAAAAGGGAAACAAAGATACAGCATCACTCTGTTCCCCCTCAGCTAGGGATATGCATGGAGGGCCGGTTTGGTTTGCAGCTGCTGTGAGCATGTCCGCTCAGGACAGCGGAAGCATCGCGGGCACTGATGTGAGGTTACAACAAACGGGTGGATTCGCAAATAAGGAACCCGCGAGTAATAAGGCTCAGTTGCAAGTCTTCCAGACCCTTAAGTGGTTCTCTTTCCTACTTAGTTAACTAATAGCCATTCTTTAACATCTAACTTGAGCTGGCGGGTTCCATATGAAGGAGTGAACGGTTTTAGGGAGCTTTGATTGCACATCTCTCTTCCTTCCCATTCTCTGCCCACTGTTGGCACTAATTTGGTTTCTTACGCTGGTGTATGTGTTTCTGTCTGATCTGCCTTATTCCTTGAGGGGAGAGACTGTGACTTCCGTCCCGGTCAGACTGCCTCCTCACTAGATATTAAATAAATGCTTGTCTACGGTTTGAACTGGTATAATTGAGAAGAATCACAGCCGTTCGGGGCCATTCAAATTGTTAGTTCTGATTTTAGATCATCAGAGTGCCCAATCGCTCAGGTGAGGTTAGTTTTAATATTTCCTAAGATCTCAAATACCCTCTAAGTGGCTTCTGCAGCAGGACCTCTTCACTGGAGCAGGGCTTGCATGCTAATGACTGAGACTCAAGGGTAAGATGGGTCCCAATAACACGGCCCCAACTTTAGGGCCTTAGAACTTAATGAAAATGTTAATTATAGTAGCAGAATTTTGACCTTCCCAGAAAAAGTAAGCATTTCATTTCTATCCCCGAAGGACCCAGACTCTTGAAATAATTAAACGTTGGATATCCCTGTAGATGTCTTTCAAAGTATACTCACATCCCAGCTTATATGAATGGCTTGTAATGTTTTGTTTTGTTTTTGAGACAGGCTCGATTAGCCTATTTTAATACCAAGTTCACCTATTTGCAAACAAGCAATCTCAAAATAAGTACAAATTAGAACCAATTAGTGTACTATCAACTGGGTCTCTAAGTGCTAAATGGGTGAAACAAAAGGTATTGAATGAGGTCAATCCTGTAAGAATTGAAATGAGTTTTGAGGAAGAGAAGATAAAGGGGGGGGGGAGGTGGAGGAAAGCAAGTGAGGGCACCAGGGATTCTGTCCTCGCCTCCATCCTGCAAAGTGGGGTGAAGTTGGTGGGGGGGGCAAGGCTGGTCCTCAGGCTGAGCTAGGATCCCACCTGCCCTCCCACCAGATTCAATGATCCTGTTGGGCTCCGTGGAGCGGTCAGAGCTTCAGGCCCTCCTGCAGCGCCACCTGTGCCCAGAGCGGAGGCTGCGGGAAGCCCAGGACCTGGCCAGGAAGCTGTCCGAGCTGCCCTTTGACGGGAAGGCACGGCAGGCTGGGGAGGGGCACCGGGGCACCTCACCCCCCGGCCGGCCAGAGTCCTTCGCCTTTGTGGATGAGGATGAAGATGAAGAAATCTCTGGGAAACCTGAGGTGACAGGGCCGGGACGGGCCCAGCAAGCAGGAGAGATTGGGAGAAAGGGAAAGTAGGAAGAGGGAGTGGAGATGGGGTCATTGAGAAAATCAAAGGTCCAAAGGGCTAACGGAGATAAGGATATGAATGACTGTACCCATGAGCATCCAAAGGGATGTAGGAATTCTTTTTTAAAAGATTTTATTTACTTATTTACTTTTAGAGAGATGGGAAGGGAGGAAAGAAGAGAGTAAGAAAAACATCAATGTGTGGTTGCCTGTCACAGGTCCCCGACCAGGGACTTCGCCCACAACCCAGGCATGTGTCCTGACTGGGAATCGAACCAGCAACCCCTTGGTTTGCAGGCTGGCGCTCAGTCCACTGAGCCACCCCATCCCAGGGCTGGATATAGGAATTCTGAACTAGAGAGGAAGAATAGAGTTAGATGGATTTCCTAGGACACCAGCTGGCGAAGACAGGGAAGTACTAGACAGCCCCTTCTCTGGGGCTGAGGAGTTTTACTGTTCCTTACAGCTGCCTGCCCTTCCTCCTCCTCAGCCCTTTCCTCTGGCTCCGCTGGCCCCTGAAGAGCCCAATGGGCCCCTGCCCGGCCTCAAGCAGCAGGCGGAGGCACCGGAACCTGCAGGTAAAGACTCCCCCGTGGTGCCCCTTCACTCAGCCTACAGGCCGCCACTATGCGGAGAGGAGACTAAGGTGGTGGGAGAGGGTTCCTATTCACTGAGCCTCCGTATTGCTGCCCCCAGTCGGTGGGGCAAGGGCTGATTTGAGAGGACAGAAGAGAGGGCGTCTGCAGCGGTGGCAGAGTGTCACGGGGCCACACGGGGGCCCCTGGCCATTGCCTCCTACAGAGGGTAGGAATGGCTTTGCTTCCATCTCCCCCTGCTCCGCATTCCTCTCAGGTCAAAGGCGCTCCATCTTTCAGTCTCTGCTGTGCTGTTTGCTGGGCAAAACTCGACCCACAAAGAAGAAAACCAGCCAGGTGAGAGAGGAAGGGCAGGGGCAGGGGGACGGGGGCTTGTCTTTGAAGAGTGAGAAATCCACGGTCCTTAGGTCAGGGGGGCAGGGGGCCTTCACCACATGCAGGGGATGGGGACTCGGAGAGCAGGTGTCTGTGGCCCTGGCCCGGGAACCGTGGCCGCGTGCCATTAGGAAAGAACTTGGACCCGTGTCTTTCTCCTCCAGGATTCAACAGACTTAGTGGACAACATGTCGCCTGAAGAGGTGAGTGAGGGAATTGGGAACCCGGGGTAGATCTTTCTGTCACCTGAAGATACGACTCACCTTTTTTTCTATCTTCTTTGTTGTGTTTGAAGAATAAGGTGTGAGTCTGGGTGGGAAAGCATTTGAGAGACTGGAAAGGAAGTGTGACTGTGGAGACAGTGACGGGCTCAGGTGGGGTTTGTCTGGTGGCGTTCTCAGAGGGACCATCATCATCTCAGAAGAGGGCTGTCTGGGGTCTCCATGCGTAGGTGGGACCACGGCGCCAGGATGCGCCTCAGGTCTCTTAGACATTAGGCCCGTTGTGCACAGGCAGAGGCTATGAAGGCCGTGCAGTAACTCGGCACCAGACACCAGTGTGCAAAAACAGCACCGCAGCTCTACAAGTGAAATCCACACCGGCGGACGTTCCTCTGCTGATGGACCAGAGCCCTGAGGCAGCGGGCAACTATGAAATACCGGGAAGCAAGGCCAGGAAGGAGCGCAACCCGAGGACGAGTATTCATAGTGCTGGTGCTGTCTCTCTGGACAAAAGTCTATTTTCCGAAAGAGCTGGTTGCCGAGTCCCCGAGGGAGAAACCCGAGAGTGCCGAATGGGCTCGGTGTGAGCAGTGAGAGGACGGGGGGCAGTGGCTGGGAGTGGTGTGGGGGCATCGCACACCCTGGGAGGTGTGCAGGCACGACTCCCCTCAGCAGCAGCCGCTCGCATCAGGAAAGGAGCAGGCAGACTTGAGCTCTGTGGCTGGCAAACCATCATGCATACTGCTGTTCTACAGTAAACATGGGACATCCGGAATAAATATGTGCAGAAAAGCAAAAGTGCTCCAGGGTTGGAGGAAGGGGTGGGAGTGACAAGAGAGAAAGGAGCCCTCCCTCTCCCCTTGGTCCCCCCGAAACTCCCGCACTTCTGCTAAATGACTTCTGGAGATTCAGATAGGTGCTCACAGGAGAAGAAGAAGAAAACCCGTTCCTTCTGCCCCCCGCAGGAATCAGATGGTCGTAGCTGCAAGTGAGCAGTGCCTTGCCAGGGTGCTGACACCGGTAATGATGCTTTCTGTTGTTGCCGCCGATCCACCAAAAAGAGAAAGCCAGTTAGTTGAGCAGGGAGGCTATTTAATGGCCGCTGAAAATAAAGTGCCGCCAGGGATAAAAAAGATGAGAGATCTACATTTTTAGTCTATATCTTTCCCAAAGAAGACTTTATTTTAGGCAGCTCCCAGCTCCCATGTGACTCAAGGACATTTTGGAGGGATAAGATCCAATAGGAGTCAGGATTCAGATAATTTTGAACATGGTTTTCAAACTAGATCAAGGTGACACTCTTGGCACAATCAAGATGATACCCACGGAAATGCTGGAAGAATTCACTTATAGGTCAGCAGGAGTCCCTGCGTTGGCTTAATTCTGCTACACTTAGTTCGTACACATAGTTAAAGCTCTGGTTTGTAACGGGCTGGGCTTTTTCAAGTTCAGACCCGAGAGCAGACAACCCTTGCTCCTTTGGAGAAGAGGTGGGGGTACCTGGAACATGACCAGCAGTCAAGGTCAGAAGCCCACCTCCACCTCCATGCAATTTGAATAAAGCTGTTGCTCTTTAAGGGAAAGCAAAAACGAAACTAGGGAAAGCTACAAAGGTCCAGGAGGTAAAACAAGCCAAACCGGGGTTGGCAAGGTAGCCGCTTGCCATAAATAGTCTCTATGACATACCTGCTAAGTAGTCACCATCCTGTGCTTCGGAAGCTGGTCAAACCCCACGTGAATCTTTAGTCAGGGAAGAGGAGAGTTCCAGAAAATTTTAGATTCATTTATGAAAGCCAGAGCCATACTGGATTCTTGGGAAGCTTGGGGATTTGGGCGTCACATCTAAAATCAAGAGGAGAGTCGATCTCCTTGTTTTAACACCTCTGTTACACACACACACAAAGAAGATGGCTTTGCTCAAATCCACTAAGCGTCATGCAAGCCAGCGCAGCTCTTCAAATCCAGTGAATATCCGGCCATGACGTAGGGTGTAAGAGGGAAGTGTGCTAATCTCATCACAACAAGGGGCCATCCCTACTCTCCAGGAGTAACACTCTCCAGGAGTTCATGTCCAGCGGGCAGAGGTGAGACAAACCCAATGCCAGAGTCAGAGTGCCCGCAGTCCACGCCATTTCTGAAAAGGAGAGAGCAGCAGGGTGCCACGGGGATGGAGAAAGGGCCACAGCACTGCGGCCTGGGAGCCTCGAGAGTGCAGAGTGGGTGCAGGGTGGGCGGGTAAGGGACACGCAGCCCAGCCAGTGCAGAAGCCAGAAGACGTGTGTGAGGAATGGTAAGGAGTGGGCTTCCACTGGAGCAGGGGCTGTGCCGGGAATAGGGCAGTACTGCAACGGCAGGTGGGCAGTAACATGGTGTTTGGGAGACTGGGGGTGTGGGTGAGGCAGGAGGTTGTACCAGTGCCTGAGGACGAAGGCTGGCTGGGGACCTGATGGGGGAGGGAGAGCAGGGGCTGGCCCCCGGGAAGAGGGGAGGGGCTCAGCGCTCTGGAAGTTCTGTGTTAGTTCGTCGCATATTTCAGTTGTGTACTTCAGGACTGGGGGCCAGGAGGGCTGCTTGCGGTCAAGGCCTTGCACCTGAGGTTGACGGGGGCTCTGTGGTGTTGGATGACCGCCCTGCTCTGCCCGACAGGTTGAGGCCTGGGAACAGGAGCAGCTGAGCCAGCCTGTCTGCTTCGACTGCTGTTGCATCGACCAGTCCCCTTTCCAGCTGGTGGAGCAGACGTCCCTGCACAAGGCTAGTCCTTGCCCACCGCTCCGGGCTGCCGAGAGGGCAGGGGTGGTGAGGGCCCATGGTGCGCTGACCTGAGGCTCTTTCCACGCAGACGCACACGCTGTTCTCACTCCTCGGCCTCCATCTTGCCTATGTGACCAGCATGGGGAAGCTGCGGGGCGTCCTGGCACTGGAGGAGGTAACAGTGGTCGGTCCCTTTCGAGCAGCAGGAGGAGTGAGGGGAGTGGTGGGGGAGGGATGGTGCTAACCACACCCCCATTTGCCTCTCTATCTCTCATGAATAAATCGGAGGAGGAACAAGGGGGTCAGCAGTCTGGCGGTGCCAGTAGAGAGGCCTGCAAAGTCCTACAGCGTTCATAGATCACCTCGGATTAGCCCTTGTGATCGTCCATAGCTGGCATGGGTTTGGGCTGGAGTTCAGGGCATGACTCATAGTTTCATACCATGGAAAGCGAGAAGAGATAGGATGTGGCTGAAGGGAGCCTGAAGGTCACAGGGAACGGGCCACAGGAGCACCTGGGTCAGGAGCCTTGAGATCCACTGCTCTGCAGGGGGTCTGCTGGCCGTGGCCTTCTTGGGTCTTCTTCGGTCCTTCCAGGTGGTCCCTCTCTCTTGCCGCTCTACGGCGTTTCTGTTCCTTTTCCCTCTCGTTGTATCTGTTCTTCTCGTGTCTGTTCCTCTCGCTCTGCCCCATCTTCTTTCTCTTCCCAATTCTCTGCCGTCTTCCCTCTTTCCTCTGCCCCCCAGCTGCAGAAAGCCATCGAAGGGCACACCAAGTCAGGGGTGCAGCTCCGCCCTCCCCTGGCCAGCTTCCGGAGCACGACGTCAACTCCAAAGACTCCTGGGGGCCCGCTCCCTCCCACAGAGGCGTGGAGCCTGCCTGAGGATGGAACTGGGGCGGCGGAGCCAGAGGACGTGGTCCCTATCCCTCCGGAGTGCCCAGTGCCCTTGGCTCCTCCCAGAGCAGAAAGTGAGTTGGAGGAGCTGGAGCTGGTGGACAGCCCGGGGCCAGAGGAGGAGCTGGCCGACATCTTGCAGGGCCCCAGTCTGCGGTCCACTGATGAGGAGGATGAGGACGAACTGATCCTTTGACTGCCCCCAGGACCGCCCCATCAGACTGTCAAGAGGCTGAGGCCCAAGGGTGGGTTTCGGTGGGAGAGGGTATGTCCCTAAGTTGGAGCCATCACGCCAATACCCTGGCCCCTGCTTGGAATTTTAAAATGTGACGGTGGCAGTCTTAGAGGAGGAGGGCAGATTTGGGCAGGGACTAGCTCTGATCAGTGATGTCGGCCATTTCCCCCATTCCCAGACATCTCAGTGAAGGGCCTGCATATTCCTGAGCTGCCTGAGTTTTTCCCCAGTGTAGGTGGGGAACTCCCTGCCTCTGCCCCCCCCTCAGTCCCCTCGACTCCTGGTGTTCTTGTCCCAGCACCTTCCTGGCCCTGCACATCTGTCCTTCAGTTTGCACGGGAGTGGGTGAAGGGAGACCCTGGATGGCTGTGGCCCTGGAAGTGTCACACTGGAGGAGGAGAGGGGACCACCTCATGGCCTTGCGGACTGGCAGCCCCAGAATACACCGCAGATCATCCACGCCCTTCTCCCCGAGTCCCCCACTGCATGGTCTCCTGCTCCCTGAAATTTGCCTCTAGACCCCAACTGGCTCCCACTACCTGTCCCTAAGCAAGGGCCATTACCAGGACAGCAAAAAGCCAGTTCCGGCACCCTCTCCTATGTCCTGAATTTAAGCAGTGAAACGTGGAGAAAGATGCTATCAAGGAGCAGCCTGAAAGAGAAAACGTCACCGAAGGCTCTGTGTGGAAGGGGCACCCCGGGCCAAGCGGTCATGGAGCCCCCATGGCCCTGACCTCCCTGTAGCAGGCATTTTCCATGTCTTCTCGTCACAGATTCCTCGCCCTTGTTTCCAGGTCACTTCCTAGAGAACCCACCCCCTCTCTTTCCCGGGGTGGTCACTGATCTGTCCTTCGCAAGGGTCAGCTCCGCCCTCAGGCTGCACTGGCTGGGGCCTCTCCTGCCCAGAACTAAGGCTCAGGCCAGCCAGGCCCCTCAGACACCAGCCCTTGGGCTAGTTCTTTGTGTTCTTCCTCTTGGGGTGGACGGCCGGGGGGTCAGTGTCAAGAAGGCAGACCTCTTTGATGCATCCACACTTGGGAAGTCCGACCCACATCCTCCCCAAATCAGCTACGGGAGCCTGCTTTTCTGTGAGTGGTCCCAGGGGCTCTAAGCATCCAAGACCCCTGCTCCCGCCTCCCAGGTCCCCCCCCCTTCACCCACCCTGGACCCGGTCTCCGTCATCCCCCAAATAAGACGCACATAGTCAGAGGATGCCACCACATTCTGTTTAGTGCCAGTGAACACAGTCTGGAGCCCTCTCCGGCGTTACACCCCTCCCCCTCCCCAGGCCAAGAGAGAGGCTGTAGCCTGGGGAGGAGGTTGGCAGTGGGCATCCGAGCCCACTGCCCATGCGTGTATATATAATCTATAATATTTATATATATTTATATAATTCTCTCTAATATATGCCATAGACTCTCTCTCGGGCCTGGGAGGGGGAAATGTCACATTAAGAAAACATGCTGAGACTGGCCGTAGAAGTGGATCTTCCCAGACCTGGAAGACGGGCGCGCGCAGACGCACGGGCTGTGTGGACGGGGGCGGGGCAAAGGTCAACACATTCACCACGTTTCCCTCCTTCACACAAGGATGAGGAGGAAGGGGGCGGGGCCAGGCGGAAGGGGAGGAATGGGAGATTCGGGTTTTCCTTAATCAAGTGAATTAAAAATAAAAGTGCACCCCTCCCCCCCAAGAAAAATCATTTAGCAAGAGCAGTTTCATTCACAATAATACAAACACAGCCCTGTCCCGGGGCTGTTGTAAATCGTGCTGCACAGCCTTTAACCCCAAAGGAAAAGCAACCCTCCCTCACCCCCGACAGCCTGTTCCAGCACATGCCCCTTCCCTCCCCCCAAATAGGCTAGAAGCAAACCCCATGCACCCTGCCCCCAGCACCCAGGAGGCAGCTTCTCCCTCCAGAGCCCTAACAGGGTCCCGGGCCAGCTCCCTGGTCTTCCCCCTCTTCAGAGTGGGAGGGGAGCTCCTTGCAAATGCAAACCCCCAGCTGACCGTGGTCTGCGCACGTGCCAGCCGCCAGCACTGGGGATGTGGACCCCCACTGCTGTCTGCAGTCACCCAGATTCCTTGACAATTCAGTCATCTTTCAGCAGGGCCTGCCTGAAAACGGGCTTCCTCCAGTGGGGAGGGAGGAAAGCGCGCTAATTCCCTCTACCTGCCCCAACCCCTCAGGGCCCTGAGCAACACCGACATGAAAGAGCCCACTTGCTGGAGTGGACGTCCACTGCGGGCTGGGGCAGAATAAGGGGCAGGAAGGGGAAGAGACTAAGAGGAAAAGGTGGCATATCCAGAGAGCAGGTTGCCCAAGGTGCGGAGACGGGCTCCCCGGGCGCAGGGAGCTGGGAGCATGCAAAACCCCAAGTCCCGCGGCAGGAGCGCAGGCTGAGGGTACAAGGCCACTTCTCAGAGCTTCTGGTGCCCAACGCAGGTCACATGATGAAACACAAGGGACAGCTCTGGATGAGGTAAGCCACTCTTCACCGCCTGTGCGTGCCACGCTAACCCGTGTTTCCTCCAAGACCCGACCTCCCCTCCCCCGAAGACGCGGGACCCCGGCCTGGGTTGCATTTCAGGACCACGTTGCATCATCACATGAGCATGTGAACTTGATGTGGGGCGGGGAAACGGGGGCCACAGATGGACAGAAACGCCACCATTCTACCTCCTCCTTCCAAAGAAATAGACATGTGGGGACGGGTAGGGATAAGGTAGTTTGCGCCCAGGGTCTGGGAGAGATGATGTGCACCCTTCCTGGCAGAGGACAAAAGCAACAGAACCCCCGCCAACCTTTGGGGTAGAACACGGGACCCTGACCTACAGCCTTAGATGAGGCAAGAGGAAAGGCAGGCATGGACGTCTCAGTGTCTCTCTCCTACCCGGATTCTCCGAGGGCCAGGAGCCAGGGCCCAGGGCCCCACTGTGTGCTCCACAGCTGCCACTTCTTTGCTCTGGCCCGTCCCTGCCGTCAGGATCATTTACACAACTGTGGGGGCTTTGTGTGCTGCAGACAGACGTCCCCACCGAAATGGACACTGGGTGTGGGAGGGCGAGCAGTTTCAGGGGCTTCTGCCTCCCTGTAAACCCATCCTAGAAGGAAGAAGACTGATCCCCTCTCTGTAGGAGGCCCAGGAAGGGGCCTGGGAGGAGCTGAAGGAGGAGAAAAAGGGCCGAGTGTCCCCCGGGCGGGGGCCTCACAGCACCAGACTCCCCCCTCCACCCCACTCAACCTGAGTCCCCAAGAAGTTATAAAAATGTAGAAAAGGCAAAGAGAAAAGTGTAAACAGCTCCAGAGAATTTGGGGGCGGATGGAGGGAGGCACAGACTTCACGCTTCCCTGCCTGGCAGGCCACCTGCGTTCTGTGCTCCCCCCTCTGGGTGGGAGCTCCTGGAGCAGGGGATGGAAGAAGGCAGACAAAGGAAGCAAGAGCTGGAGCAGCCAGCCCGCTGGGTCCTTCCCCAGACCCCTCGGACCCACCTTTCAGTCACGGGATATTCAAGATCCCAGAACAGGTGGCCAGGTTTGTCCTTGGTCCCATCCGCAACTCTCCAGTCTCTGGGTGGGCCACATAAAAGACCCCCGTTTGTGCCCATGTGCACTCCAGCTTCACGTCCACCTTCCCCGGGACTCCTGAGCTCAGAAGCCGAGCTACCCACCGAGGGCAGACTCTCCATCATCCAAGAAGACGTGGTTTCCCCTGCGCGCGTCAGGCCATGTCCAGCCCCTGAGGTTTGGTCTTCACAGGAGGGTGGAGCTGGGACCACAGCCAGAGAACACACAGAGTCAGGAAAAGCAGGAGTGACATGAAGAAGGGAGGCGTTCAGACAGCCACAGTCAAAGCTCCTGGAAGACGAAATCAGGGTGTGGAAAACTGAGGCCTAGTCGACGGCCACCAGCCGCGCTGCACTCCTGTCCCCAGGATACAAACTGGAGCTTCTGCATCACAGACCCGGGAGCCCGAGGCCAAGCCAAGTTCACAGCCATCTGGTGGCCTGGGCCTCAGTCCCCGGACCTGTGGTTTCCACAGCACAAGCCTGGATGGAATCCCATCCTGGCCCTCCATTTTCCTGGCGAGGACTGGCGGCTCCCGCATTCCTCGCCATCTTCCGCCCGGGCTTTGGCTGTACTGCTGGGGGAAGGGAGGACAGTGTTGCAGCCGTGCCCCTCAGGAGGGAGTGGAAGGTAGGGCATCGAGTGGGAAGAAGCTAGTTGTTGGCCTCGCCCTCCTCCTCATCAAACGACTGCACCCCTGAGGAGGTCACATCGGACACCTTCCGACTGAGAGCGGTGGCCATCTCGGGGTCTTCCCGTGGGGAAAGTGACTCCAGGTCCCTGCATCCCGCATCCTCTTCCTCCTCGGGGGCCAGCGGCCTCTTCTCCTCCTCTGCAGGGCCCCCTACCAGGTCCACCCTGCCCGTCCCTGGAGCCCAGTCGCTGTCTCCCCGCAGCAGAGGCGGAGGCTCCGGAGCAGAGTATCCCGAGGCAGGCTGGGAAGCCCCCATCTCATGCAGGCTTGGCTGGGAGTCATCAAATGCAGGGCCGAGATAGGAGCCTGTGGCCGGAGAGGCAATGAGGGACTGGTCACTTGCTTCCCAGGCATCCGATGACCCCAGACAGTACATGCCCTGAGACACGTAGGAGTGAGGCCATCCATCCAAGGGGGCTTGAGTGAGCGCATCTGTGAAGAGAATCATGGTTGTTGGCCGGGCGCACACAACCATCCAAGGCAGTAACAGCAGCACAGAGAACCAAGGGTGAGACATTAGGGAAGGAGGGGACGAGAAGGCTGAGATGAACAGAAAGTCTTAGAACAGATGAGCCCTGGCTGATGTGGCTCAGAGGCTTGAACACCGGACAGCGAACCAAAGGGTCACCGGTTCGATTCCCAGTCAAAGCACATGCCTGGGTTATGGGCCAGATCCCCAGCAGGGGGAGTGCAAGAGGCAACCACACAATGTTTCTCTCCCTTCTCTTCCCCTCTCTAAAAATAATAGATAAATAAATAAATACTTCCAAAAAAAGAGAAAGAATGGAGATACAAAGATGAATACAGGTAGCCTCAATAATCGAGGAGGCCTCTGAGGCCTCAGGGGCTGGATTCTGGAACCACCCTTCCCTCACCTTGACTCTCCATCAACTCCTGGTAGTTGTCACTGTAGTTGCAGCCCAATGGCTCCTGGGCAGAGTTGACGCTCATGTCCTCACCGTCCATGGAGGACCAGGCCATGAGTGTGGCCTCGGAGATGGCGAACTGTTCCATGACGCCTGGGAGAAGAAACGTAGTCAGCACCAGATGGTCCTCCTATGGGCCGACCTTGGCACAGGGGGTGGGGTTGGAGGGTCAGTCTCTGGCCATCCCGAAATGTGCCTCCCGAGGCTTCGGGGCACGAGTACCTGCGAGGAAACGCGCCTCCTTCTCGCCATCGCTGAGGTCAGAGTAGGCATCGGTGTCCCTGCGCACGGCCTCGTGGCTGTGCTGGGGCTGGATGGCGGGTGCCTTCCCCCAGCCCTGCCATTCGATCATGTGGGCCACCCGGCCTTGCCCCATGGCTGTGGGCTTCGTCACATGGTCCTTCATGCTCCTCGAAATCCCTAGGGGGCCAGACATTGTCCACATCCCCAGAACATCACATAGTACTGTAACTCCCTGCCCCCCACCCCAGTTCCTGGGGACTCCACCCCTGGGGGCGGGACAGGCTCCCCTAGGTCTCCTGGTGTGAGGGCAGCCTGGAGGATGGGAGAGGCTGGACAGAAAGGACAAACAGCTCAGGGATAGGGAGGGGCAGGGAGACTGAGACCAGGAGCGGGAAGCAGCCCCTGTCTGGACGGTCCCCGGGCAGGCAGTCTCACCTGAGAACGAGGACTTGGCCAGGGCGCCAATGCCATAGGCGTTGGAGTTTCGCTTAAGCTTCGGCAGGATGGAAGTGGTGTCCTCCATGGAGAGCTGGAATGGGGAACGTGGGAGGAGGGACAGAGGAATAAGAGGGCACGGGGTGCCGCCTTCTACGTGGGGAGAAGTTCATGGTTTCTGGGAGCAAGGACCTGAGCTCGGGCAGGTGATAGGGAAAACCATCGTAGCCAGAGGTGTCAAGGAGGCCTATCCTCCAACCCCTCTTGAGAAAGTGAGGGTAAGCAGAGCCTGGGAGTGACCACAGTGCCTGCTGAGGAGCGGGAGTACTGTATTACCAGAGAACAGAAGACAGAGGAGTTAGGCTGGGCTGGGGGAGCTGGGGCGGCTGGGGGAGCCTGCACTCACATTGATGCCGTCCCAGGAGAAGTCGGTTCGGGTTTGCTGTGAGGAGAGAGAAAAGGGAGTGGGTATCCCAGGTACTTCGAGGAATACAGCAACGCCCTCCCCCTTCCTCAGAGGGATTTCCAGAAGTGTGTGAAGAAGGGAGGGCTTTCTTGAGATCAGCATAGGAAATTAGCATTTATTTGGCCTGTATTTGGAGGAATGTAGGAGACAGGTTCTCTCAGGGTGTCCATCTGAAGGAGGGCTTGGGGAGTTAGGAAGAGATTGCAAGGCTCAGCCTGCTTGGAAGCTTTGTTCATGATGGTTGTGGGGTTTTTGGGGGGTCTGCGGGAGAGGGGGCGGCTGGACCAGGCCTCACCTCCGCGGACGGCCGGTGGAGGCTGCTTCCGTGCAGCGAGCTGGTGCTGTCCATGTTAATTTGGTCGACATCCTTCAGACCCTTCCAGTCCACGGCAATCACCTCATTCCCTGAAGTGGCCAGAGAGTTAGGCGCTCCACCTCACTGCCCCCCACACCCAAAAGGCCCCCTCCTGGTCTCAGATGCTGAGGCTGCCCTTCCAGACTTCTCCCTGCCCTGGGCTACCGCTCCCTCCCATTGCCCATTCCTTTTACATTCCTGCTCTCCCCACATCTTTGGTAGAAGAAATCATAACACTGAACCAAAATACTCAGTTTGAGCTCAACCAGGAGTAGCACACTCAGGAAAAGTGGCGTGTGGCCTTCCTTATTGTTGCTGTGTTGTAAATGGAAGGGTCGGCGCTTGGGTTTTGGCAGGAAAACTGTTGCCCATCCTGTCCTGACCAGTCCTCGCGGGTTTCCACGTACAAGTCCACGGGAGCTATGCGTTTTACCTATTATGTTTCTACAGTCAGGGGTGGGACTGCTCTGGGGCTAGCTTCTCTGTGCCTGGCTTTCTTGTTTGCGAGTTGGAAGGCGTAGAGGGAACCCTCGTGGGAGTTGGTGAACTTGACTGACAGGAAGGACGTGGAGAGAACAGAGGCAGGAGATGGGTGCGTTTACCCAGAAACAGCAAGAGCAGAGAAAGCAAAGCGGGAGATGGAATCATCTTACCCGACTGTTGGAAGGTAAGTGATGGGTTAAAGAGGAGTGGAGAAGGGACCAAGGGCAGAGAGAAGGGCCCTTTTTAAAATAGGAACCAAAAGAACAGGACTGGGAGGGGTTTGAGGGTCTCAGGAACTGGAGGGCCCAGAAGAGTGGCAATCTCCTCCTGGTGAAGGAGGACGGAGCCAGGGCAGGGGGTGCCTCTGGGAGGCTTGGGGAAGAAGCACTTGTGGCCTTGCAGAGAGACCCACGTCAGATGGCTGTGGAGCATCCGGCTGGTCGGACCCCTTCTATGAAGGAAGTTTCATGACTCCAAATTTTGGGTTAGGGACCCACTCTTGAGAAGAGGTGACTTGACTGGGGTCTCAGGCCTGAGGAGGCATTCGGTTCACGTCAACGTAGCTGGTGCTACAGGCAGGGCTCCTGCTTAAGGGATCCGAGGGACACAGGACCCCTTGGAGGAGGCCGTAGTCCCTCTGGGCTGCAGGGAAGGGGTGAGATGGGCGGTACCAGAGGCTATGGCCTGGGGGGAAGAGGAAAGATGGACGTCTGGGCAGAAAGAGCTGGAAAGGGGCAGGCAGAAAACAATCTCTGAGGAGGAATATGGGGCCGGCAAAGTGCCCGGGGGGGGGGGGGGGCCTTTGTAGAAGAGGGAGAGCTGAGTCAGAGCAGTGGGGGGCAGGAAGGGGAGGGAGAGGAGGAGGAGAGGTGAAGGCAGAGGAGGAGGGGGTATCCATGGAAATAAATCAAGTCTCAGAGAAATCAGGCTTCCGTTGAGTGAGTTTGTCTGTGATAATAATACGAACTATTCTCTCTGCCTGAGGTCACTGGGGCGTGTAGGCGGGAGAAATGGGGAGTTGAAATGTGAAAAAATTGGGGGTTTGGGGAGAGGGCTGGATTAATTAATTTGCTGAGCGTCGAGAGAGGAGTGCGCAGGTGGTGGGGGACCAGGGGGCAGGAGCAAGGCAAAGGTGGAAGGTCTTAGACGAATTAGGAGGCGTCTGTCTTCCCTCCCCAGTCAAAGGTAAATAAAGGGCTAGCTCCGCCCCCATCACCCCCGCTGACAGGTGCTGTCCTGTCCCTGATCCTCCCAGGCCGGGCCCCACCCTTCTGGGACCTGGCTCCCGACCCCTCTGAGTCCCCCTCGGACCTCTGCCTCCTGCCCCGCGCCCACGGGCTGTCACCCCCCAGCCCGTCCCCATTCCCTCCCCCAGGCGCATCCCGCCCCCGCCCCAGAGGGAATATGCACGTGAACAAAGCAAATCCGGGGAGGCTGGAACGACAAAAAAAGACAACGGAGAGGGAAAGAGATGGGGGCAAAACGCCCAAGCAGATGGAGGCGGGGGTGGGGGGTGCGTAGGGAAAACAACTCGGGGCTGAGACGTGCGGGGAGGATTCTTCGAAGAGGGGCGCTCCGGGAAGGGAGATGGAGGTGCGGGGCCGCCGAGGCGGGCACAGTCGGGGCGGAGGGCCTGGAGGCGGCGGCCGAGGAGCGGACAGCGGCGGGGGAGAGAGCGGAGGCCGATGGAGAGATGATGGGGAGAGACCGCGCCTGGGGGAGGGCCACGGAAGGAAGCCGGAGGGAGCCGGAGAGCCCGCGGGGATGCTCGCCCGGGGGGTGCGGGAGGAGAGCGGGGAGCGGAGGCACAGGGGGAAGGTGAGGCAGCCGGGCGGGGCGGGTGGCGCGGAGCGCGGTCCCCGGGGGGCGCGCGGAGGGTGGGGGAGGGGCCGCGGCCGCGGACCCGGCGAGCCCAGCCCACGCCCGCCGCGCCGCGGTACCCACCCACGGTCCGGGAGCCGATGCAGCCCATGGCGCGGGGCCTCCGGGGCCGGACCCTCGCCGACGCGCGGCGGGCGCGGGGGGAGCACCGGGAGCCGCGCCGCCGCCCCAGCCTCTCTGCAGCGCCGCGGCCGTCTCCGCTCGGCTCCGCTCCCCCCGCCCCTCTCCATCCCTCCCCGCGCCTGCCGCCGTCGCCGCCGCCGCCGCCGCCGCCTGGCTCCCCCGCCCGGGCTCCTCCGGCGGCCCGGGAGGGGGCGGCCCGGCGATTGGCTGCGCACGGCACCGCCCCCAGACCCGAACTTGCGGCCGCGCGGCCGGCGCACCTCTCCGCGATCCCTGCGCCTGCCCTTCCCCAGCCCCGCCCGCGGCTCCTCCGGGGTCAGGGCTGGGGTCACGCCTGGGGGCGCAGCGGAGTCCCCCGGGGTGCCCGCCCGGGGTCCCAGGAACCGGGTAAAGGTCCCCGGCGCCGCCCTTCCGCTCTGGTGGATTAATTTCCAGGGTCTGGGTTGGGGACGCTCAGAGAGAAAGTGAGGTCCGCGGAGGAGAGTAAAGCCTTGGTGGCCGCCCAATTCCGCAAACACTTGTTTTCTTCCCGGGGGGGGGGGGTGGCGTGATTGGATACAGTTTAGGATGCTCTGCGTTTCCTGTGCACGGTTTGTCCACCCAAACGGAACGCGAAGTCTTTGGGAGGGCGTCCTGGGTGGGACTTCCCTGGGCTCGGCGCCCGTGCAAATTGTGGGACCGTGCCTGATGAGGAAGGAGAATGAAGCTAATTCAGTGCCTCCTGAAGTGAAAAAATGCCAGGACCCAAGACTGGCTGGAAGCCATAGTTTGAAATCCAGTTTAACTTTTCCTGAACCTTGGTCCTCTCTGACGAATGAAAGTATGGATGCCAGGAAGCGGTCAAGATCAACAGAGCGAGGATGCCCTCTGGCTAGTGGGGAGGGTCAGGTGGGTACCAAAGGCCTCCTGGGTACCGAGAAAGAGATCTAAGTAGCAAGGGCCAAGTGGGCAGATGGTGACAGCAGACTAGAAGTGGAGTCCAGAAAAGCCACATGAGAAAGGGTAAGGAGACTTGTCCAAGCCGCAACCAGAAAACCCAAAGTGTGAGAAGGCGGAGTCAAGTGTGAGAAGGCGGAGTCAAGTGTGAGAAGGCGGAGTCTCAGCCCCAGTGACCTCAGCCAGAGTCTGTTTGCCGCCTACATGCTTTCAGGTCCCTCCGGAGGTTGAAAGGGGAGTGAGGCAGTGGGCTAGGGGTCCCTGGTGTGGGCGTGCAACCGAGAGAGACCAGGTCTTGTGAATGCAGCTTGTAACCTTTAGATTACAGATGGAGAGCTAAACTTTAGGGTGAAAACCATTACGTTTGGTGGAACCCCACATGAGAGAGAGGGGAGATGATGCTAATCTAATTGAAGACCTGGGAGATAGGATTATGGAGACAAGTGACCTTTGGTCTCTGTGCATGAAGAAATTAGCCAAATGTACATCTATAAAACCATGAGCAAGAAGACAGAATAGTCTGTTGTAGAGCTGCTTAGATTTTAACTGTCCGGTATACTTTGTGGCAGCATTTGGACAGTGGAATTTTTTGGACAGTGGAATTTTTTGGACAGTGGAAAGAATTAGAAGGTATTTCCCCCATATCCGCTACTGTGTATTTTACGAAAAGAACTACCAGGAATCTGCTGTCCTGGAATACAGTGTCTCAGTACCAAGGAGAGGAAATAGAAAGATGGGAAAGGAAAAGAAGGAATAAATCCATCACTACAGCAACGCCCCCCAAACCCTTACAGCTGGAGCCAAGAAAGCGCTGTGGGGGGAATTCCAGGTACCGAGTAAGGGGCCAAGCGACCAGTTCTGCTCACACCTTCTCACCGGCTATTGCTCTCCCCTCAGGGTGCTGTCATTCCACTAATCCCGCTATTACTCTGATCCAAATATGGATACGAACCCCTCCCACAATCCCTTTAGCACAGCCGTGTAAGACTGGATTTAGCCAAAAGATTTAAATCAAGATCAGCACAAGGGATTCCAGGTCTTGAAGCCTCAGTCCCAGTCCCACGTTCTGTCTTAAAGGTATTTTCTTGGCACCCTAGAGAAATAGACTATCCTAGAAACAGTGTGTGCCGGCTTCCTCCCTGCTTCTTGTGCGGGATCTTACTCCTCACCATTGGGAGGCATCCTCCTGGTCTCTTTGCCATTTTCTGAGTCAAGGTCAAAGATTCCGGTTCTGATGTGAACAGGAACAACCTTCCCGGAGGACAGTTCGATGGCACTGATGAAAAATGATCTTTAAAATATGCATTGAAGTTGTCGTACATAAGTTGTGACGCAGCCGTTCCATTTATAGAAATACTCTAAGGAGACAAAAAGAAAAGGGGACAAAGATTTCATCGACAGCAGCCATCAGAGCGCTATTCACACAACAGGGAAAGCTTCTACCCAAGCCCCATGGTCCAACCCGGGGAGTAGTTAAATAAATTATGGTCGATGCCTATAAATAGAATTCTGCGGAGCCATTCATAATATCTCATGGCTGTATTTGTTGACAGAAAAATTATTCATGATACATGGTGACATTACTTAACGAGCAGGTTATAAGAATAATGTATCGATCTTTGTTTAGAAATCACACACGCACACACATGTTCTTCTAGCAGAAAAGGATGAAGCAGATGTCAGTGGGTGGCAGGTTTGGTGTCGGGAAGACGGGATTCCCGTCTGATGGTGTCTATTTTCTTGGAGACATAGGAGCTGAGACCATCTAAGAGTCTGGGACTGGGGAAGATAGGGGTACAACCATAGGAAATAACACGCCAACATCCCTTTACAGCGGACAAAGGGATTGCAGCCTCCCGGTCTCCCACCCCGATAAGGAAGTCATTAGCTTTGCATTGCAGTTGAGGAAATCTGGATTCACAGCAGGCTGACATTCCTTTCGCCTCAGTTAACCAGCTCAAAACAGAAGCAGCTAGCAGCGGTGTCAAACTCATTTTCATGGGGGGGAGGGGGACGGGCACATCAGCCTCGAGTTGGCCTTCAAAGGCCCAAATATAATACTAGGACTGTGTAAGTGTAACCACTCCCTAACTGTTAAGCGAGAATTCTGGCGTTGCCATGGGGTAGAAACAAGGGGCCTGGCCGGATAAAACAAGGTAGAGGGTGGGGTTCGGCCCGTGGGCCTTGTGTTTGCCGCCTGTGAGCTAGCAGTTCACTTCAGCCCCACAAATGGAAAATTCATCCTGGATGCTTAGGCAAAAGCCTCATTTGTGTGTTTGTTCATTTATTTTTATTTATTATTATTATTTTAGATTTTATTTATTTATCTTTAGAGGGGAAGGGAAGGAGAGGGAGCGAAATATCAATGTATGGTTGCCTCTCGTGCATCCCCTGCTGGGAACTGGCCTGCAACCCAGGCATGTGCCCTGACTGGGAATTGAACCATCATCCTTTGGTTCGCAGGCCTGTGCTCAATCCGCTGAGCCACACCAGCCAGGGCTGTTCATTTATTTTTAATTATTAGAATGACTTGGTTCGGGTAATTTTGTGGGATACACATTCTTTCACTCTTGCCTTTTAGGGTGAGACCATGAACTGAAGACAGGCATAGATCTGTCTGCATTCCTAAATTTTGAAATGGAAAAGTGATGTTCTCCCCTCAGGGGGACTTCCAGCCCTGCTCCTGGTCCTTGGTGCTATCGTAAAGTACTGGTGACAAGAGTGTCTCGGTTCCACCTTGTCGAAGTCTGTGCATTGTATCAGAATCTCTGTCTTGGGGACACGGGGAGGTGACTCAGGCTGCTCCTGAGTTTAGTCAGCTTCGGGGCAGGTCTTTGGGTCTCACAGGAGGCACTGTTTGCTTAGGCACTGGAAGCGGGGATGCTGACTCTGGGGACCTCGGGAAAAGGGCTGCAGGCACACCTGGATTAGGGTGGGGTTGGGGGGTGGAGAGATCAGAAGACTCTGAGAACAAGCAGGGAACTTCCTTCCATGGGGTCATTTCCTTAATAGTCCATAAACAAGAAGACAAAGAATGGAGCCTGCGAGCCAGGTTGCTGCCCCTTGGGGTGGGGGGAGACTCAGAGCAGCACCGGGGGTGTGGTCGGTAGTGTGTGGACTGTATTTCCACACAGTAGGAAGTGCCAGAGTCTGCGCCGGTCTGTCTGTGGAATGAGTGATCGGGAGACCGGCTCCCGCTGCTGTGCTGGGGCAGGGCCTTTCCCGGGCGGGAGCGGGTCTGCTGAGGAAGAAAGGACATCTCGGGGCGGTTAGTTATTACGCAGGAAGACACTGACCACAGCAGTTCCCTGGTCCCAGGGTTGGTGGTGGGGACAAAGAGGCCTCATGGAACCAATCTCTCATCTGCTGGACTCTGGAAGATAAAACTTTGTATTTCATTTTATTCGTTTATTCCTTATTTTTAGAGAGGGGAAGGAAGAGAGAAAGGGAAACATCGATGTGAAAGAGAAACATGGATCTGTTGCCTTCTCGTATGGGTCCTGACTGGGGTACACACCCCAGTCGGGGATCTGAGCCACAGCCTGGGTTTGGGCCCAGACAGGGAATTGAACCTGCAACCTTTCGGTCTAGGAGATGACGCTGCAACCAACGGAACCACGCAGGCCAGGGCGATAAAACCTTTTAGGTCAATATAGGTCAATGCCCGCTCGCCCTTTAGATGATACTTGAAACCTTTGCCAAATATTATGGAGTTAAGGGGAGCTCATCGCAATGCACAGTGAGATAAGGACAGTTAGCAGCAGCGTGGCCGGTGGTGGTGACCTCTCCCCCCAGCCCCGCCCCTGTGGTGCTGTCTCCTGGGACACAGGGGCAGGTCAGCATCACTGAGTCCGTAGAATCCTGTGGCTCCATGCAACGGAGGGGAGCTAGTAGGGTCTGTGGTTTAGATTTTCGGGGGAAGGCACTTGCTCTGTCTTTTCTTTGAAAAGCAGGTCTATGGGCAAGCCTGGAAGAGAACCACTTCAGATTTGGGGGTCCCATCCAAACGTCTGATGCAGAGGGCCAGGCCAGGGGGTTCTGGGCTAATGGGCTCCCACATGCTTCTCAGAGAAGGGACAGGTTGGGTCCTGAGGGCATGGAACACAGGCCCCGAAGTGTCCTCAGGGCCTCGGGAGGCCACCCTCAAGTCCAGGTCACAGGCAGCAGCAGACTAGACAGGAAGCCAGGACCCGGAAAGCAGGCTTGGGCCTCCACGAACCAGAGGCCAAGTAAGCAATGAAAGTGGAGCTCATCAATCCCAGAGAGCCCACACGGATGCATCCGCCAGAGGTCAAGTGACTACTCAGCACTCCCAAATCCCAGGGCACAAATCCCTGAGAAAGAAAGGCAAGAATCAAGTAGGTAGTAGCAGGCATTTGCTTTTTCCAGCTTCAATGTCCCTACCTGTCAATTTTATATTCTCCAGGAGGACCCGTGAGAACCTGGACCTAGAAGGCTTGTTCCTGAGCGTCACAGGTAGCTACCTGGCTAGTATTTACGGATTCAGGGTTGAGCAGCTGGTGTCACATCATGCCCCTGGAGCCCTCTTACTTCCCCTGCTGGGACTCCTAAGTCCCATCTTTAAGCCCAGCTGCTCCAGGAGAGATACCCTGCCTTGTGCTTACAAGGCACCCCCTCCTGTTCCTGCCTCTGAATCCCAGCCTGGTGGCGGGTGCTCTCCTACGACTCTGCTGCCAGGCATAGCTGACGGCCGACCTCTCAAGTTCCTGAACAGACCTCCATTCTGGGACCCCCGTCCTTGTGTCTTCCTTAGCTTTTAGATATCCTGCCACCTCAGCTTGGATGCCTCTGGCAGATGTCTTCTTGGACGAGGATCTGTTTTTGCTGCCAAGTCTAACTGCCTGGGCCCCTCTCTCCTTTCCTGCAATTGCTCCGATGCTAAACAGCGTCGCCTGCCTAACGGGTGGGTGGAGCCCAGGTCTCCGCCCTTGCCAGTCTGCCATCCTTAAGCAAGCGGACCAAGTCCACAGAGGGGCAGCAGAGGCTGTAGGGACACTAAGCACCGATCATACGAACTGGAGGAAAGCTTAGAAGTCAAGTCCATTGCTGTACTTTCACAGACAAGCACCACTTGCCTCTCAGATTTTCGTAGTCACACAACTAGTAAGCGGTCACACTGCCATCAGGATTCAGGTCTCCCAACTCTTTTCTAGTGTTCTTTTCCCGACCCTGGGATGCTTCCCTAAATTTAGGTTGGGCTGTCTTTCTGATTTTTATGATGATGCTAAATACCGTTGAAAAATGCTCATTAGTCCCCATACTCCTTTTGCTCATATTGATGGGTCAGCTCCTTTTGGATAAAATGAGGCAAAAAGAACATTGTTCTACGTGGGTACGTGTTCTCACTGCAATAAAATTAAACATAAAAGACCATTGTTCTAGCTTAGGCGTTCCAGAGGTAACTGTTTTCTTGTTCTTTGTGCTTAAGAATGAGCGGGCAATGCTAATCTCGGCGTGCATGTTCAGGTCATTCTTTGGTGAAGGTATTTTCACGGTGATAAGCAGACCGGGGACAAAGCTTGTACTCTCTTGGGTGGCGGTGAGCCAGCCCCTGAGGGCTGTGGCTCACTGAGTCAGTCCTGGCTGTTCTGCTGGTCGGCCACAGACCCACCCAGATGGCAGCGCCCAAAGGGACTGGAAACTTTGAACTTCAGGTGGTGTGTTTGGGTTGCTCTCAAGTAATAAAACCCATTTTAGAGAAATTTTGAACGGAGACAAACAAAAATTCAGGTACCTACAGTGAGGTGGCTAGAGGTGGCCGAGTTGAATTTTATTTCTGCTGGTGGAAAGCTGCGTTGAGGAGGGGGTGCAAGCAATTTCTGCATTCTCCAGTGGGCGCTGGAATTTGCCACTCGAGCCTTTGCGATGCTGATTACATGCTGAAATGATAGTATTTTCGATGTAGTGGATTACGGCGTATTAAAATTAATGGCACCTGTTTCTCTTGGAATTTCTTTGAAGATGAGCTACGTGGCTTAACATCAACTCTCTTTTTGTCATTGTTGGTGTAGGATGTCGTCCTAGGGACACAGGTTGAGGACAAGCAAAGTCACGAGAGGTGAGAAGTTCAAGGAATGGAGAGATGGGGGAAGGGAGGATCATCTATGAGGTACTAAGATCACTAAAAATTAATAGCAAAGACATTTGGGAGACAGAGCCAGTGAGCTCCGACGTCATAATGTTCTGGAAATGAGGGTGAATGACCAAGGGCGATAGATGGCGATACAGGGGCTCCAGTTTGCTGCCGCAGAGTTCGACGCTGGAGGATTTGGGGAGGAGAGAAGGAGGATAGTGTGGATGTGGTAACGCGGTCAGAGAAGGACACCTGCTCTTCATCCAGGGTTGTGGGGGGGAAATGTGCTGCCACGTGAGAAGGCTACAGAGGGAGGCGCGTCCTCAGAGGATCCGGGTGAGAGAAGCAGGAGAGAGAGAGGCAGGAAGAAGAGGAACATTGGCTGGCAGCGGTCGCTGAGCTCGGAGAGCACCCTGCACGGGTTTCCGGAGCTGGGCATCTGCGGTTTCTTAGGGTGAATGACACCTTATTGAGGTTAAAGGGCTTCATGCAGTTAGTTCTGGCAGTCTGACGGCAGAGCAAGGCTGCCAGGGTAGGAGGTTTAGGGGGAGGAGTGACGGGGGCCTGGGGTCTCCTTACTCTCAGAGAGTCCCACCTCCCTCTTTCACCCCTCCCTCAACCATCAAAGCCCAGGGTAGGCCCTCTCAACTTCCCAAGCACTGCTCACTAGGTGATTTTTTTTCAGCCAATAATTGACTCAATTTACTACTTGGAAGCAGGTAACTCACACGCAGGGATCTTCAGCACAGTTCTTCTCTGCTCCACACCTGGAATCCCACTGCCCACCGAATGCCTTTTCATTCTTGGCATGTCCAGAACGGAGCACAGTCTCTCTAACTCCCAGATCTGCACCTCTCCGCCGACGGGCTGTACTCCAGGTGGGTGCCAGCAGGAAGCCGAGCCGGGTCCGTGGTGTCTCCCCCACACCCCCGACTCCCACTCCAAGCTCAGTCCCACACCAGGCTCTGCCCGTCTCCACGCCCCTCTGCACCTAGAGCCCTGACGCAGTCTCTTCCCAGGTCTGCCCGCCTCTGTACCGGCGCCACCTGTTAGTCTCCACATTGCCGCTACGGTGAGGTGTTTCAAAATTCCCCAAGTATTCTCCTGCTAACCTATCCACCCTAAAACTCCGCGGTGGCTCCCCACTGCTCTCAGGACAAAGTTGAAACTTGTTCACAGGGTCCGCCTCTCCGCACAGCCACCTCCCCAGCTCTGTGGCGGCCCCGGGCGGGCACCGCCCTCTCAGGCGCCCGGCCATGCCTGCCTCGCCTTGTGGTCACACGGGATGATGGCCATGTTCACGGCCGCCCCAGGGCTTCGCACAGGCTGTTCCCTCTGCATGCAATGCTCTCCCCTCCCACTTTGCCCAGTTAACTCCTGTGCGTCTTTCAGGTCTCAGCTTGGATGCCCACCCCTTCCTTGACCTCCATAACCAGTTCCCATCTCAGTATGCACTTCATCACAGGCGGTCCTTGTAACATGCAGTTTTACACTTGTGTGAGATTGATTAAAGTTTATGTCCCTTTGAAGATTCCCCAAGGTCATGGACGCTCCGAGAGGGCTGGGATCATGCGTGGTTTTGCTCAATATTATATCCCAAGCACCAAACAAAATGCCCTGCACATAGTAGGTGCTCAATAAAGACTCAGTGACTAGTCCTGGCTGGTGTGGCTCAGTGGATTGAGTGCGGGCCTGTGAACTAAAGGATCGCAGTTCAATTCTCAGTCAGGGCACATGCCTGGGTTGCAGGCCCGTTCCCAGCGGGGGACACATGAGAAGCAACCATACATTGGTATTTCTCTCCCTCTCTTCCTCCCATCTCCTCTAAAGATAAATATTTAAATAAATAAAAAGAATGTTAAGCTGTCAAACATCATGCAGCTTATTTAAAATAAAAAAAGACTTAGTGAATAAACAAATGAACTGATTCAAAGGCCCATACGCTTTCCAGAAACGCAGGGCCTCCCTTGATCTTGCACGAGATGTCAGTGACCCTGGAACTCAGTCACTGTGTCCAGGGCCCTGGCCGTGGGGCAGGCACTGCCTCCCGGGCTGCGCTACTCCTGAGCACACAAGAATAACTCTGCCGGGCCTGGGTAGGTGGTTCCGAGTTACTGATGTCCTCGGGTAGCATCTCACCCTTGGGTACGAAAGGCTGTCTCCCAGCGTGAGCCCGTTGAGAAGTCTCAGGAGGAAGACGTGCTCTTCTGTGTAGCGCCTCATCCCTCGTTCTGGGCAGGTGCCCGTTTGCCACATTCGTCACCCCCCCCCCCGGGCGGCGGCAGGAAGGGGTGCCTGAGGCGTTCCGAGGGTTTGCTCAGAAGCACCCACTTCCTGTGTCTGGCGGCCCCAGTGGGTGTCTTCGTAGTAAACCCACTTTGGTCAAGGGTGTGGAGGTGAGTGGGAGACTCTAGAAAAATGCAAGTGCTTCTCATCTCAAGCAGCTTGGTTATCTACTGAACTTTAACCCCCCCACTGCTTGAAATGTTTACTTTCCCTGGTGACTGAGTCAGCTATTTTCAGGGACAAACGTTGGCGTTTCTAGGCCAGTCTCTCTCTGGTTTTGGCTTCCCCTGGGTTCAGGGAGAAGGCAGGCAAAGGCGGCAGCAGATGCTTCTCTAGTGGCCGTGGCGGTGCCAGCAACCTGCCTGTGCTGCTGCCGGTGCCGAGTCTCTCTTCCTCTGCCCTTCCCCAGTCCCCAGCCGCCACTGACTCTCTGCCATCTGACCATCTGCCTTGCTCTGCCCCCTGAGGCCACCACACAGACACGTGCAGTGCCTTTGGGTGCCCCTCTGGTTCAGACCCTCGGACGTGTGGACTCCTGGCTCCTGCTGCTCCTCTGGGCCCTGCCCCCTAGATGCCCGGTGCGGGCTCTGCTCACCGCTGCCGGGGCCTGGACCCGGTGGGGCAAGAATAATGAGTCTAAATGGTGAGGAGGCTGCCCAGAGTGCAGCCACCTGAGCCAGCACTGCTGGGTGGGTGAAACCTTTTCCTAATGTTAACCCCTTACTATACTGAAATACCTACTGAAGTGCTTTTTTGACTCTAGATGGAGAGTGTCTTGAAAGGCATGTTATATCCAGAGTGCCTCAAATATAGCAGTTACTGGTAAATACTGGTGGGATGGAGGCTGGGGAATGGAAAAGTGCACAGAGGATGAGGCCCGGATGTCAGCCCACCTGGCAGAAAGGAGGAAAGGGGGTCCATGTGAGGTTGTCAGACCACCCCTTCCGGGGGGTTGGGGTGGGTTGGGGGTGGTCCCTCGGGCAGAGGAGGAATCTGCTGTTCCTGGGCTTTGCCAAAAAGATCCCTGAGTCTAGCGGGGTGCTGCACCCTCCACCACGCCCATTGCCATCCAGCCCCTCCACTGTGTCTGTCCTTTGTCGTGTCAAGCAAGTGGGACTAGGAGGGTGTCACTCTGGGGGAAAGTGGAAAAAAAAAACACTCTGATGTCAGGAGCAAGAGATGATGGCTCTGTCATTTGTCTTCTCCTTTTTTAAAACTATAAAAGTTCTACCTGTTTATGGGGGAAAAGTCAAGTTACAAAATGTTTCTGGCCCTAACCAGTGTGGCTCCGTTGGTTGGCGTGTCATCTGGTAACCGAAAGGTCGTGGGTTTGATTCCCAGTTAGGGCATGTGCCTGGGTGGCAGGTCTGGTCCCTGGTGGTCTGGGAGCGTAGGAGAGGCACCAATCAATGTTTCTTCTTCACATCAGTGTTCCTCTCCCCCTTCTTCCCTTTCTAAAAGCAATGAAAAAAGAATGTCCTTGGGTGAGGATAAAAAAAAAAGGAAAAAAGAAAAAGGTTTTGCCTTGCTCTAATTCTGTACCCTAACAGCAACCACTTTTAACAATTCTTGGAGAAGTCTTCTGGGAAAGTTCTAGTATACAAAACGGTCTCCCTCCCTAAGCCCCATGGCTGTCTCTGTGTGGGACAGAGATAGAGATAGATAGAAAGATAGATAGGTAGATAGATAGATAGATAGATAGATAGATAGATAGATAGATAGAGTAGAGGGGGGGGAGGAGGGGCGGGGGAAGGGGAGGGGGAGAATTCGATGGCCCCATGTGATGGAAAAGGAAAATGGTGGCCCAAAGTGGGGCCTGGATCAGACCCTGACCTGGAGAGGTTGTTGATACACGGAACCACGGCTCCTGGAGGGAGGAAGTGAGGACCTCAGGGATGTCAGTGGAGGGCAGAGGTGTCTTCAAATAATAAAATATTTGCATTACAATTTTTTTTTGCAGTTTCACAGGTGAAAAATGCAACAGCTACTTGGCCTTGGTTTCCTTAACGGAAGAACGGGATCATAATGTACATTTCCCACAGGTTTGTTGTGAGGATTCAATGCAGGCTATATGTTCATTTTTTTAAAGAAGATTTCATTTATTTATTTTTAGATGCAGGGGCAGGGGAGAAAGAGAGGAAGAGAAACATTAGTGTGTGGTTGACTCTCCCACACCCCCTACCAGGGACTGGCAACCCAGGCATCTGCTGGGACTCAAACTGGCGACCCTTTGGTTTGTAGGCTGGCACTCAGTCCATACCAGCCAGGGCTGGAGGATGTGTGTGTAAAGTGTTTAGTAGCGGACCTGCACCACGTACTAAGCTTTATCGGTGTGTTACTATTATTGCTGATGTTGTTGTTTTGGGTGGTTGCTGTTCTTGCAGTTGTCACTCAGAGTGCCCAGCACAGCGCCTGGCACAGAAGTGGCCCTCTGTCCATCTGCAACCAGAATATGAAAAGAACCCTGGGATGGCATTTCTTTTCTTTTCAGAAAATTCTTTTTTTTTTTGCCACTGCCTTTGTTCCTTTTATTTATTTATTTAGTTAGTTATCTTTTCTTGGCTGCTTCTAACTGCCTACTTCATGTTGTGTGACCTTGAAGGAAACGTTTCTGGTACCTGGTGGACATGAGTTCTGGGAGGTGTGCAGAGATGTTTTAAATAGCCAAAGTCCGTGCCCGTTTTTTTTTTTTTTTTACTTCCTCTCTCTTGCCTGGTCCTAAGCTGTGGGAAATGATCAGGTGGGAACATCTGTGTACTTGCTACTTTTTACACATCCTGCCTGAGGAGATCAATTAGAATTGCTTACTTGAGAAAAATACCTATAGCCTTGACTGGTGTGGCTCAGTGGGTCGAGTGCCGTCCTGCTAATCAGAAAGGTCGCAGGTTCACTTCCTGGTCACGGCACATGGCTGGGTTTCAGACCAGGTCCATGGTGGGGAATGTGTGAGAGGCAACTAATCACCAATTGATGTTTCTCTCCCTCTCTTTCTCCCTCCATTCCTCTCTCCCTGAAAAGAAATAAATAAAATCTTAAAAAAAAAAAAAGAATACCTAAAAATCATTAGGGCTGCTCCTGTTCACTGCATGCATTGTAACACCCACTGGCCCTCAGCTCCTCTAGGGGCATCCCGGCCCAGCGAGCCTGTGCTCCTGGGGTAGCCCGTGTGTCTCCGCTTGTCCTCAGATTGGCTGGCTGGAAACTCTGAGCTTTAATATTCTGCATCCCAAATGCTTTCAGTTGTCAGTAAAGCCAAGCCTGCCTACGCACTATTCTATTCTTGATTTATAAATAGGTTCAGCTGCCTAACAATTAAATGTACTATATTTTGAACTTGCACATTCCTTAAGGAGGTGTTTAGACTGCAAATGGCTTTTTGTCTGTGACACTATCTGGAAACCATCTCCCTCATTTCCAACCCCCACTCCCCCCCCCCAACAAGTGGGTGTAATTTTGAAGGACTGGCAGAGACTTTGGGTCTGTAAAACCCAAGACACAATCTCCAACAGGCACGGTATCAAATTTCTAGCTGATCATCACAGGGACAGGCCCAGGACCGGCTTATACCTGTCTGAGGTCTGTCTGCACAGCATGCTTCATTTCATGCGTGGCACACAGGCTACGGCAGTGTGAAACACCCACGACAAAGACAATGCGACACCGGAGAGAAGAAAGAACAGTGGGGACCGAGAAGGACATGAACATGTAGTAGTAGCCACAATTAAGTGTTTGATAAGGTTGATGGAAGACGCAGACATTGCGTACCCCAGGGCCCATGAGAGACCAGCTTGGCAGTTCAGGGAGGACATTCGGAATAACGGCCTTAGGTTAACCCGTCAGAATTTCCATTCTGCGCAGAACTGGGACTTGAATAATAATACCAAGTATTATATAACACTTCAGATATTGAATTTCGTTTATGTCTCCATATCATGCAATAAGGTAAGTGGATTAAGTGTCATCGCTCTTTTTACACACCCAGGAAAGGAAGCGGAGAGAATGAAGAGACTTGGGCACTCAAGCGCGTCTCTGCACCCTGACCTCATTCTGCGTCCTGGTCTCCAGCGTTGCTGCACCGCACCCCGGGGTTAGGAGAGGGAGCCCTGACGTTAGAGCTCTCAAGGCAGCCAGCTCTAACCTAGACCTTGGGGCTAACTGGGTGTGATGCTCTTAAGCCCCCAGTCTGTTTTCTCCTGCTAAATGTCAGGGGAAGGTCTGGATGGTCTCTAGACGGTAGCGCGCAGGTGCTCACTGGCAGTAGGCTGCTGCGGATTTGAAGCGGCTGGACCCGAGACAGTAGGGTGTGTTGAAGGAAACTGCTTTAGATGGCAGAAAAAGGGCGGCATCGGAGGGTGAGATATTGGATCTACAGGCCGAAAGGCCATCTGACTCCATAGTTTGTAAGTGGTGAGTGTGGAAGAATTCGACCGGCACTTTGGTGCGTTTCCGTGTTCAGTTACCCCAGGTCTGTCCCTTTTGCGTAGCCTGGGGCAGAGTTCAAGGCCGGGCAGTCCGGTCGGACCAGTGGGGGGCGCCACAGAGCGCAGTCTTCTCCGAATCCCGCAAGGGCCGCCCAAAGGTTCCGAGGGACCACGGCGCGCGCCGCAGAACGTGTCGCCCGCGTCCGCGCCCTTCCTCCCGGAGCCCCAGTCCACCGGACGCCCACCCCTCCTCGGCCCGCCCCCGCACCTTCCCTCGCGGGCTCCGCGGTCCTCGCCTCTCCTTCCCGCAAATATTCACAGATCCGCAGGCGGGGGCGCGGATGGTGCGAATTCCTAGAAGCCGGAAGGGGCTGCCCAGGATTTCCAGTTAGGATCCCCTGAGGACCCTTGAGGTTCGTACTCACACACACCCCCTTCCAGGTCACAGAAAGGCCTGCGGGGGCGTGAGCAGGGAGGGCGCCCAGCCACCATGGTGGTCCACCCTGGAGCCCAGGTCTACCCCAGTGTTGCCAATCGCGGTCGGCGCGCAGGGGACTCGGGACTCGCGGCTGGCAGCTGGGTGGGAAGGTGGCAGGGGCAGGTAACCGCAGGCCCGGAGAGGAGGGGACTGGCTCCGGGCAGAGTCGCCCAGGGCTGCTTCGGTACCTCCAGGGCACCCGCCAGAGCTCCGCCGGCTTATCCCGTAGTGGGGACGGTGAATCAGACCTTGGGCACCGCGGGTCGGGCGTGGAGGGGGGCAAGT